GACAGGTCTCCCGAGGTAGCTGTGATTAGGACAAGTGCACTTCCAGGAACAGCGAGGCTGATGGGCTTGGGCCAAGGCTCAGACCATTAGCCTCATGCGTGTGCATCCTGGTCTGCCTGCTATGCAGTGTTCCTGGAGGAGCAGGGCCTATGGGACTTGCTTCCTCCTGGGAAGGAAATGGGAAGTGCAGCCAGTCTAGACCAGAAGTCCTATTTGACAACTGCCTTCACTCACACTAAGGAGTAAGGTGGCCCTGTTCAGTTTTAGCCCTCCCTCGGCCCCAGGGCTGGGGGTGCAGGCAGAGAAGCATAGTCGTGGATAGAAAACCTCTCCTTGCTGCACGGTTATGTACATGACATTGGACTCCTGGCTGTAGCTTACTGTGGTCTGGTGATAGCCAAGTTAGTTTTTAGAAATCTATTTAAAATATCTGTCATGTAGCTATTTACTGTGTTTTTCTGAATACACAAGTGTAAATAGTATAATTTGCAGTGCAAAGTCCTTGGCAATAACTTTGTTGTGTATTATGTTAAAAAACATTGGAAACCGTGACCACCCTGGACTGTCCTTCCCCTCTGGGGCAATGAATACCCGTAGGACTCTGAACTTTAAACCTTCGGCGTGGTTGAAGCAGCAGCCTGCATATGTGGACTGTCACCAGTGCCTCGCCCAGAGATGCCTGGCCTTCATCCAAAGGGACCCTGCTGCCCCGACTTCTGCAGGCAGCACCCACACTGTGGCTTCTTCGTGCCGAGTATGTTGGACTCTGCCATAGACTGACCCTCTTGTCTGGCTGCTGCAGGTTGTCTGTAATGCCCTGACATGTTGCATTTTCCCCATTTGGATGAATAAAAATGCTTCTGTCTTAAACAATAATGGGCTGTTTTGTGCAGGACCCACTCTGTTAAAATGAAGGATCTGGCTTTGACAAACAGTTCCCGGCCCTTAAGACTCTCAGTACATGTTACAGGGTCTTCCCTTCGTGCAAAGGGTTGAGGTGAGGGGCTGAGGAAACTTGAAGGGGAGCAGCATGGCTCCTGATAATGGCCAGCAGTTTGCAAGGGTGGGGCCAAGTCCTAATTTATGCTTCTGTCTGCAGTCCTTCAGTTCTGCTTCTCTGTAGACAGTGCTACAAGTTTCCTCATCATGAAAGTTTAACCTGGCAGCTTGGCACGGAGAAGGGTAAGCTATGTATATCGAGTGAGTGCTGAATCTCAAACCTCAGAATCTACCAGGTGCTTTTCACAAACCTCACTCTTAATCCTCACACCGGCTCCAGGGCTTGGCAATACCCAGACATGACAGATCAGGAAACTGAGGCTCTGAGTCAAAGAGCCCTGCTCAAGGGTGTAGTTTCTAGATGGTGGCACCAATTGGAATCCAAAGCTGAAGCTCTTCATCATGCTCCTGCTGCCAGTCTCCCTGTGAGGTTTCTGCGATGGAGCTGCCACAGCGACTTGGAGATCCCACTTGGAGAAATGAGGACAAGGAAGTTGTGGCCAGCCCAGGGTGGTCATCTGGGAGGGACCAGGGGTTGCTGCTTGCCACCTCCAGGTAAGTGGAGAGCTGTGTGGACATCACCACTCGGGGGGTGGGGGGGGTTGCCTCACTTTGTAACTTAGGGCTCTACCTTTCCCCACTCACCATCCGTCTGGATTTACCACCATGCTAAAAAACGAGTGAAAGAAAAGCTGGCTGGGCCAGCCCTCTGCTGTCTCCATCCTCGTTCCCAGATTTGTCTTTCTGAGTTTGAGGGGTAGCCAGCCTTTCTTGTCCACAACTGGCACAAGGCTCAGCCCACAGGAGACAAGATTGTTGAGGTGGAACTGGGGAAAGGAAGGAGGGAGCGATTTTCTTGCTTTTGGGCCCCGGAAGAGAAGGTGGAAGTGATACATGGTAGGAAAGCCTGAACTCTCAGATGGGGCAGCCTCAGGCAAACCTTTCACCTTCATTTTCAAATCTGGGAATAACAACAGTTAACAATTGGAGGGAGAAGAATGCATGACAAGAGTCAAGAGCTTCACAGGAGAGCTCAGCAATCCCTGTGAGACAGGCATTGAACCCACTGTACAGAGAAGGAATAGAACCTGGAAAGGTGGTGATGAGCCCTAAAGTCATGGCCTGAATGCCACGTTTCCACATGTTGCTTATAGTGAAGTGCAATGACAGTCTGACCTACCTGCTGCCCACGTGGTCATCTGAAGGCCAGGGTAGGCTGGGAAGTTAGTGCTCAGGCCTGTTGTTGTTCTGGGAGTGCCTCAGCCGTTCTGTGTGGTTCCAGTCTTCGTGTCCATCTTCTCCAGCTCCCCTGTTCTTTCATCACCCCCAAATTAATCTTAGAAGAAGATTTAAATCCTAATGTCAGACTCAGGCATTTCTCTGAGCAGTGAAATGACTCTCCCAGGCCATGAGGAGCCCACTGTCACTTATTGTATTATCCCCTGCAGAGGCTCTAGTTTCACAGGTGTTGGCAGTACAGACCTGGCAGTTGTGTTCTGGACCCTTGTGTTCACTTCGCTCACAGCACGCCTTTAGGACTTAGAATTCAGAAGAGGAGTGGAGATTCTGGGGCTGGTACCTTTTGCCATTCTAAGTTGCTGCCTTCCTGCTGGAAATTACCACCAAGGCCCTGGAGATCAGCTCCTATTGCAGCAGGCCTGCCAGATGGTCCACTCAGCCTGTGGCGTATTCTCACGAGCAGCCCTCCATCAGCGACATGTGTCCAAGGTCAGAACTAGAGTTCAAGTTTCTCAACAAAACAACTCTTCCTGCAAGTCCCCTCCAACCACTGGCCTTATATGCCCACTTCCCTCATAGCCAGCCTTCTGAAAATCTACACTTGATTGTCTCTGCTTCCTGTCCTCCAACCCTCAACCCACTGTGGTGGGCCACTGCCCCAGCACCCTCCCAACTGCCAAATCCAGTGAGCCTTTCCAGTCCTATCTTCACCCAAAGGTAGCTCGCTCCTCTTCTCTAGTCATCCACGTTCCATTCTCCGGGTCCTCTCTCCTGCTTCCTCCATCTAGCCTTTGAACATTCTTTGTACAGTCTCTTTATGCCCCTAGCTTTAGCTTGTTTGAGCACTGGTTCTCAACCAGGAGTCATTTTGCCACCCAGGGAACATGCGGCAGTGCCTGGAGACATTTTTGGTTGTGACAGTTGGGGTGGGGTGTGTGCCACTGGCATCTAGCAAGTAGAGGCCCAGGGCTGCTGCTGAGTAGCTCTATTGGGCAGGACAACCCCACAGCACAGAATTACCAGCCTAGCTGTCAGCAGTGTCGAGGTTCAGACACCTGTGCTGGAAGATGCTGAACCAACTTCCGAGCAATTGTAGATTCCAAACATTTCTAGCTGCATGTCCAAGGCTATCTCAAATACATAACATTGAAAGCTAAATTTACCTTGGCATGGTCTTGCTCTCACCAAGTTTCACTGCCTCCATTCTCACCCTATTCCCTTTTCTTTGTCACCTCTGCTCAGACCCTAATTTCTCTTCTAGTGTTTCTTCCTAAAGGATTGGCAGGGAACTTCTCAAAATGAAGTGGCTTAAGACTCTCCAGTGTTCCCCATCACCTCAAACCCTTCTGGCATGGACCCAACCTGATTACCCAGTTTCACCTTTCATCACCTTGGCCCAAGCAGACTACACAACACTAACAACTATTCCTCCCACCTAAAAACTGTCCTCTTGCTTCTCTACCCAGCACATCGTCTAGTTGTTGGTGCAAATAGCTGTCACTACCACTTTGTCTCCCTTGCAGTTATACGTAGACTCCATGTTGCCACAGGATCCCCACACCTACACGGTACTTACCATATGTATTGCAATTACTCTTCTCAGTCTCAGTGTAACTGGGGGACCTCCAGCAAAACAGGTCCTACCTTTGAGTCATTTAGGGCCTGTGTGCCAAGGCTTACTGGTATATGGACTCCTTTCTCTGGGCCACTACACAACTGCAGGAATGAGGATTTCAGCTGAGAACCTACATGCCTTAACATGGGTCCCTTGGGACTGGAAAAGCATGGAGCAGGCTGGCCAGGCATGTGGAATCTAGAAATAACACCCTTTACCTGGGAGCATCAAAATGACCCAGATCGCAACCGTGCTCTGGAGCCACTGTCCCGGACAATGCAAGAGCACCTGACAGGGCAGGGGCCTGACCATCCTCGCGTCTTACAGGCATGAAGCCATGGTCTGTTAGCCTGCTTCCATTCAGAGGCTGGGTGGAGCTGGAGTCCTGGAGGGCAGGTCAAGCTGGGAGGGGAATCGCAGGATTAGGGAAGCTTCACTCTTCTTGCTGCAGATAAGGGGGACAAGGTGGTAAAGAAGGGCAGAAGAGGCCTGAGAGCTTCATCCCTGTGGTGCAGGGATATGGAAGGACCAGCAATGAAAATAAAGAGACTTTGATAAGATGTATCTCCTTGTTGCCACCTTTCTTGAGGCTTTTAGGAGAGCACACTTGGGCCCCAAGTACTCAGACTGCCTTTCTACTCTTCAGCTATTTCTCCTGCACATTGACATTTATGACGCTGGAATTCCCTCTCCAGTCTCCACCCAGTGAGAAGCTTTTGTCATTCAAGGCCTGACTGCCCTTACCTCTAGTAAGGCTTCCCCCAACCTCAAAAACCTCTGTTAGCAGAGCCCTTTATTTTTCAGAGAGAAGCAATGCTCATAATGAACAGAGGCATGAGAGCTGGACGTGGTGGCTCACGCCTGTAATCCCAGCTACTTGAGAAGCCAGGAGTTTGAGTCCAGCCTGGGCAACATGGCGACCCCATCTCTTAAAAAAAAAACGAACAAAGGCACCAGTCTCCCCCAGGTCAAAGCCCGTGTCCTCTCAACCCACATGGCTTGGCACCCACCTTAGCTACTCCATCTGTGCCTGAATGGGTGATCTTCTCTGACTCTGCTTCTGTGTGTGGAAGGCAGTGGGGAGGGAGGGGAGAGGAGGGCGGGGCAGAAGCACATAATGATAAAACTGGTTTTTACAAAGCAATGCTGTTTGTACCAAAATATTTAATGAATATGCTGTTAAAATAAAACCAACAAAAGAAATAGTAATACAATTTTACTGGTTTATATTTCAATTCATAAAGTTGACACACTGAAACTACCCTAGCACAATGTCCACGTGCCTAGCATTAGATGGGCTTACAGCTGTTTTGGTAACTGAACAAGAAAGACACAGCAGCGGAGGGGATGGTGTGGGGGAGGGGGTTGCCACTTTGTACCTCCTGTGTCACAGATGACCTCAGCAAGCATTAGTACAGCCAATAAGAAAAAGAGCTACAGAACCACCCAAGTGTCTTTATATACAAACCAGTGTCTCTTGTAACCAGCCACCTCCACGCTGAACGAAGAGAAGACGACAAACCATCTGCGAGTTAGCCTGTCAGCATATCACTATATAAATTAAGTCAAAGGTTTTTTTTCTTTTTTTAAAGGAGCTAAAACCTCCCTTCCATAGCTTTGAAGTGAGAGCTTATATCCCATCTGAACCGTGGGGTCTGCACCCAGCCATACTCTGGGGAGGGCCTGAGGCCCAGCCTGTCAGGGAGGGACCAGGCCAGGAGATGGGACACCTCGAGGCACATGCAGGATGCAAACATACAGCTCAGTCTTTCTCACTTGGACAACCTGTTGTGCAAAAACACTAGGAACCATGAAGTGAGGGAGCTCTTCATAGCTCCTATAACGGCAGGGAGGAGAGCAGAGCCCAGCAAACCTTGAGTGAAGTTAAGTGCCCAAATAACCACATCATTAAACTGTGCAGATCAGCAGTCCTGTCTGGGATTTAAACACTTGTTAACTGGGTATACTGGGAAAGATATTTATATATATATATATACACACACACACACACACACGACACGTTAAGCAAAATAAGATTTGTCCATATTATGATTAATCCAGTCTCACAGTCAAGTCACCCACCCCAGCCTTGTGAAGTCATCTTGGCAGCTAATGCTAAAAAACAACAGGAACTATGAGTTGCATAGAATTGATCAGAAACGTGAATAATGCCAAACCAAAAACCTGTGCATTATATAGTTTAACAAAATGAAGTGGCTTCAACTACAAATATGAAACCTTCCTATTTAAAACAAAGTGCTTCTTCCATGTCTACCTGGGGGGCCTTCTGCTGGCACTGAAGCAGGTAAAAATTATTTGAGTTTCTGATCCCCCCTCCCCAATATATATATATATATATATATAATATGTATATTTTTTTAAAAAATGAAAGGTTTAGGGGGAAAAAAAAATCAACAGACTGAAGGATCCCCAAATTCTGATCGTGTAAACTCAGCCTTTAGGCTGGGTGAGGTGCTGACCTACACAGGGAAGGGGCCTGGGAGGTCATACTGAGGAGTGGTTTCTAGATTGTGTCCAGAGCGTCTGCTGACTAGCAGGCTTGTTAGTATCAGTAGTCTTACCCCAGAGGCTGCCTGCTTCATGAGCTCTGGTCCAATGACCTACCAATATGTGTCTACAGATCTGACTTAGGTACATTCTGGTCCTGGGACATGTCACAGAATCACACATCTGGCCAAAGAAGGCAACAAAAGGTGTCGTGTTTTCTGAAGGTGTCTGGAGGCAGCAGCTGCTCTCAGCAAGTCTCTTTCCCTTGAACCCCAGTTGCTGTCTTTATGGAGCTCAGTGTTCGGTTGAACCATGTCTTCTTCGCTGCCTGAACCTCACTGAGGGCAAGGCCTAAATGGTGCTCCAAGTCCTGCAAGAGGAACAGCGCACAGATGAGGATGCTGGGCCCAGTATCAAGTGGCACTGCCTTCCCCAGAGCTGAGTCAAGACAAGAATTCAGTCTATTTATTCTATGGAGGCCTTGGGAAATTCCCCCTGTTTCAAACTGGCATGGAAAAGGCCTGGCATGCCAAAGATCTGGGAGCATTCTTAGTTAAGACCTCATTTCTTGCCTGGTCTATTTATGCAAACAGCTTCCTACTTTAATGTCTCCCTCTCCTGCCCACCCAGTGCACACAGACAGATGGCTAGTGCTCTAGATTTGACTAGAGCATCATTAATTTCCAGCAAACACCTTTGAAGTCTAAACTTCCTAGCATGGCATTTGAGATGCTTCACAGTATCAGCCCAAAGACTCTCCTCAATTTCATGGAAGGAACTCCTGAGGCTCCCTACTGGGCAGGCCCTCTCCTCCCTTTGTGCTGCTGAACACTGCCTGTGCCTGGAATGCACACTGTTCTTTCTCATCTGCAGCTGCAACCCCTGTTCGTTCTTTGATCACAGCTCAGGTACTGTGATGCCTTTCCTGAGTGTCCTGGACTGTCACACTGCCATGTCTTAGCTTTGTAATCCCAACACCTAGAATAGGGCCTGGCAAAGAGCAGATGCCAGTGAATGTGTGTTGAATGAGGGAGACCTGGCCCTAAGTGTTGTCTTGAACTTGGTTCCTTCCACAAACAGTGCTTGGTGCTTAGTGGTGGTGGTGGAACTAGCAATGCAGTCAGTATAAAGTTAACCAAAATAAGTGCTGATTTCATCAGGATTGGAAGCTCAGATAAATTAGGTAATGTATCCAAGGTCACCAACTAGTTAAGTGACAGAAGTTGGAACAATGAAAGCTTACATTTATATAGAGCCCCCACCACTCTGTGGACACTTTTCTATGCATGATCTTATTTAAGTGCTCAAAACAACCTATCATCATGACTCTTATCATTCCCATTTGTACATGAGGAACCTGAGGTACAGAGAGGTTACTAAGCCAAGGTTAGAGTTCAGTGGTAGAGCTGTGATTTTAAAGCATGTATTTTTTGTCCCACCAAAAAGATTCTGAGCTTTGTGAGTAATTCTCAAAATGACAAAAGTCCAAATCCTTAGGCCAGGCCAAATACTGATTTAAAAACCACTGGCAAATAACAAGTACTAGGCTTCTTCCCATGAGAATTATGGGCAAAGTTTAAAAGGGGGGTCAAAACCCAAACTATAAAAGATAATTCTTGGGGTTGCTAGTCCAAAACAGGAAATCTAACCCACAAGCTTGTGTCTGAGTTCTGTTGCTATTACCTGTATCTTACACTCGGCTTCCACCAATTGGAGCTTGGTTTGTGCCAGTTCTAGTTCCATCTCTCTCAGCTGGTTCTTGAGAGTCTCCTTCTCTTCATCTGTGTCCTCATCTAAAACCTCCTTGGTTGAGCTGATGCCCTTTACACGCCCTTCTTTGTTGAAAAATTCCCGGCAGCGCTCACAGTCATCCACTTTTTGCTGAAATTGAATGTGACATGGGAAGAGGCTAAGAGGAGAAAGTGGTCTTTTAGGATGGTGTAAACATCTTTGCGGGGGCCACGAGATCCAAGAGATGGCTTCTCTTTTGAGCACTACAGATTTTGAAAACCTGTGCTTTCTTTGTAAACTGGCAGATAACCTAATGGGAAAGTCACCTAGTATTATATATCAAAAGCAATGAAAATATTCTTAATCTAGTAATCTTACTTCTAGGAACTCAGGCTGAAAAAAATGAAGCCATGATCAGATAAAGATTTTTTTTTATTGAGACAGAGTCTTACTCTGCTCCTTGGGCTAGAGTGCCATGGCATCAGCCAAGCTCACAGCAACCTCAAACTCCTGTGCTCAAGCAATCCTCCTGCCTCAGCCTTCTGAGTAGCTGGGACTACAGGCATGCACCACCATGCCAAACTAATTTTTTCTATATGCTTTTAGTTGTCCAACTAATTTCTATTTTTTTTTTTTTTTTTTTAGTAGAGACAGAGTCTCACTCTTGCTCGGGCTGGTCTTGAACTCCTGAGCTCAAATGATCCGCCCGTCTTGGCCTCTCAGAGGGCAAGGATTACAGGCATGAGCCACTGCACCAAGCCAAGATAAAGATTTATGTACAAGAATTTTCACTGCAGAACTAGAAATAGGAAGAAAGGTGGTGGGTGAGGGAATAAACTATCCAACAACTGAGAGCAATTAAATGTATGCGTACACAAGGAAGTACACAGCCTCTAAAAGGTTTTCAAGGAATTTCTCGTAATGTGGGAAAATGGATAAATGCTGGCTGAAAAAAAGAGGACATAAAAATGTATATAAAATATGGTCACAAATAAAATATATACCATATTTTATCAAAATAAGATGCCACTATTAAAACATTGTTTTATGCTCCTCTAAGAAAATATTCTGCCAATTAAACCACAAACCAATTATAAAAGGCCCACTTTTGAGACAGAAATGTGAAAAAAAAATGCTTAGCTTAGAATGAATGAAATTTTATGTGCTAAACACAAAGACTGAAGGAACATACACCAAAGTGTTAATGATGTTATCTGTGGATTACAAAGTTTTTCCCCCTTACTCTTATTTTCCAAATTTTTTGCAAGAGCATTTATTACAGCTTGTGAATCAGAAAACAAAATTTTAAAGATATATCCAGTTAAACACTGATTATCATGGAGGCCAATGTCAGCCTGCGCCAGGTATAACACTGCTATGTGCCAACACAGCATGAGCACAGAACTTTTCCAACTTCCTCTCCACCGAGTTGCAAATATCTTAGTAAAGCATCTTTCAGTAAATACTCATTCTAGTAAAATTTGACAAGCACTCTAAGTATGGTGTAAAGAAAGAAAGCACCAAGTTAAAAAATCCTCTAAACTGGCAGCGAAACATTAAAAAATTAAAGTCCAAAGGCGGACATGGTGGTGTGCACTCATAATCCCAGCTACTTGAGGCTGAGGTGGGGGATCACTTGAGTCCAGGAATTCAATGCCAGCCTGGGCAACATAGCAAGACCTTGTCTCTAAACAAACAAACAAACAAACAAAAAAAATAAAAATTAAAGTTGTCACTGTATTTGAATCTGTTAGAGTAGAAGGAATGAGCTCAGGTGGAGAGTGCCTCCATAAGCCACAGCGTATTATCCTGACCTCTGCATCCCTACCTCGGGCAAAACCCAATACTTGCAAGACTCCTTTACTTCAGGGTCACACTGCAGTGACCAACTGCCTTACCAACAGCATTCAGAAGTCTTGGGCACTTGTACTTTGAGATCTAAATCCAGAGCTCTTTTGGCGTCATCTGTACTCCCTTTCCAGAGAAAACAGGCATAATATTAGTTGACAATTACAGAGCCAGGCCTCCTGACATGTGTCTTATCAGGTACTCCTCAGCTTCTCTCACTTTTGAAATCAACTGCCCCCTCCCAATATCTGTTATGCTGAGAATACAGCCATAATATGAACTAGGTGGTATAAAATCTCTTTGATAAAGGAAGCCTTACCCGAATTTTCTCAATTTCCACTTTATTAGCTGTCTGCTGCTTCTCCAATCTTTCACTCAACTGAGAACAAATCTGAAGAAACAAATATAAAATGAAAATCTCTTGAGCAATGTAATCCACCTGCATAATTTGGGCCCAGGATAAATTCTATGGCGTAAGCTGGAATACACTAAATGGAATTAGCACAGTACCAAACAGGCTGCTTACTACTTGGGGGTGGGGGTGGAGGTGAAGTTGATGGGTGAGCTGTGCCACCTGAACATCCATCGACCTAGATTTGCAGGAACCCATCGGTGCCACACTCAGTGGCCGATGGTTTCTGAAACTTGCCAGATTCTGAAACTTGCCAGATTCAGGAGCCAGCTTAAGATCCTGGCATAGGAAGGAACAGTAAGTTATGTTCTTAAAACTCAACCAGCCAGGGAGAAAACTGGTTGACCACCATATGTAAATATAAGTCCATAATTCTGAATCTAAATGCTCCCCAAAAGATACTGTGGGTTTCATTTATGAAGTACCTGCTATGTGTTGGGTACTATGCCAGGCACTGTACAAACATGGTCTTTTTGAATCATCATAATGGTCCTTGCCAACAGGGTTTATTTTCCTTATCATACTATTGAGAATAAGTGAAGTCACTTGTCAATGCAAGGAGCAGAGCCAGGATTTGAAAGAGTGCTAAAGCATTTGGGTTTGGAGAGTATAAGTTTCATCCAGGGAAGCAGGACTTCTGAACACACAACACAGTGCCAGGGTACGCAAACCCACCTGCTTGTAGTCACCAATGATGGAACTATTTTTTTTAATCTCAGATTCTGCCTTGTCGAGTTCCCGGCGGCACATTTCTTTTAGCTGCACACATAAGAAAGCAAAGGTGAATGTTTTAACAGACAAACAAAGGAAGCTCTATCACTAATTGTTTAGTGTGAGGCTTTCCAGAAGGTATCTGACCTAACTAACTCTAGAAGGGCTCTAATTCATCTACCTTCTTTCTTCATTAGGCAGCATTAACCCCTTGTTCTTGATACCAGGAGAGAGAAAGAACAGTTGAAGCTTCTGAAAATGGCAAGCCCCATTCCAAATTGGGGCTTTTGCTGAAGTTCTTCCCTGCCAGTGCAACCCAACCTGTGAACCTTTGCTGAGCAGGGAGCACAAACCAAATACAGACCAACAAGCTAGGGAGGGAAAGGGCTATAGTTTTTTCAGCCCCTCATTTTTAATGCAGAAAGTGTTTTGTCAGGGTCTCCTGGAGGAGCTCAGTGGGAGAGGAGGGTGCTGCTCCAGCACACATGGCGCCCAGAGCTCGTCCTACTGACCTCAGGTCTGTGCCCCCAGTGACTGTAGAGCTCTAGCTCAGAACAAGGATTCCAGAGTTTGCTCTATGAGGAAGACAACAGGACAAGTAGGAGAAAAGCCAGACATACCATGTGTGCTTTCCTTCGGCAGAAATACTACCCCCTCTTCTTTGTTATGTGCAGACACTGATACACAGCAAATTCTCCTGCCCCAGTAAAGGGTGGGTTTCAACCCACTGTCTCTTCCTAGACTTTAGTTACTAAGAACTCTTATGCTTTACACAGTTAAAAAAAAATGCCATTGAAGAAAAACTGAAGCCTGCTGTCCCCAGGTTCTCTGGTGCCAACAGGAAGTCATCAGCTGAACTCCAACTCTCAAACATTTGCAGGACATAGAGGAATGTGGAGGAAGAACAAAGTTCCCCTCACCTGAGCAGATTCATCTTCTAGTCTTCTTTTCTCTTCTTCTGCATCAATCAACTTCTGTTTGGTCATCAGCAGCTCCTTGTTCAGTGCATCTGCCTTTTCCTCAGCCTGAAACATTTGAGATATGCTGTCACAGAATAGGAACTGAGAACTGGAATGGATTTACATTACGTAGCACGCTCCCATGTTAAGATGATGGGGAACTATGATTCAAAGGGGGAAAATGATATCCACAAGGTCACAAGGAGACTACACTGCTGCAGAAGTGCCTGGAGCAGTCCCTTGCACAGGGGTAGTGTACGACACTGGCTAGGAGCTCAGCCTTTGGCATCAGACAGCCTAGGCCCAACTCCCATTGTTCACCGACCATGTGCCTCGTGGATACATGATTGAGAACCTCTCACTTTCACGTTCTTCATCTGAGGGATAAGGCATGAAAAGCATTCAGTGTAGTGCTGCTGAATATGGCAAACAATAAAAAGTAGCTGTCATTGTTATTAGTAGTAATAATAAACCCTAGTTTTCTTCCAAACTGTATTTCTTCTGCTAATAAGTCCTGCATTTTGCTCTCCTTTTTACCTGATAAAGGAGGATGCCCCTTTCCCAACACTTTTTTTTTTTTTTTTTTTTTTCAAGATAGAATCTCAGTCTGTTGCCGTGGCGTCAGCCTAGCTCACAGCAACCTCAAACTCCTGGGCTCAAGCGATCCTCCTGCCTCAGCCTCCCGAGTAGCTGGGACTACAGGCATGCGCCACTATGCTCGGCTAATTTTTTATATATATATCAGTTGGCCAATTAATTTCTTTCTATTTATAGTAGAGACGGGGTCTCGCTCTTGCTCAGGCTGGTTTCGAACTCCTGACCTTGAGCAATCCGCCCGCCTCGGCCTCCCAAGAGCTAGGATTACAGGCGTGAGCCACAGCGCCCGGCCCCAACACTTTTTAAACATCTTTAATGGCTACCCCCAAACCTAGTCTTTTTCAAAAGCATGCAAAGTTCTGGTGGGCAGTTCCGTGAGTCTCAGTGAAAATTATGTATCTGTTCCTGACATAAGCTCCTGACACTCTAAGGATAACTGAAGAATGACTACACCACATTAGAGAACAATCAAGGAGTAGACATAAAGGGTGTCTTCTGGGCAACTTATATACAACCCTTGGCAGTGTATGGTGGATTTCCTGAAATTAAACAGGTGTTTCTGACATTACCTAGCTCAAGTTATATAGCTGAGCCCCTAAGTTTTCCATTACCCTATACCTCCACTCCCATATCTTCTTTGGGAAGAAGAGGTTCCAAAGGCATGGGTCCTTAAAAGGTGAACTGAGAATGGCATGATATGCAAATTCAAAAGGCCACTGATTACTGGCAAACTGCACATGCATACAATTAAATGGAGTCCTACAGTTAAGACCTGCCCTTCCTGGGAGTAGCTTATCATCTCTTTCTCTAGCTCAAGCCTAAGAAGTAATCAAAAGGGAAATAAAGAGAATCAAACAACAAGGAAAATAATCAGTAAGGAGAATGAAGACCTGCTAAAGATTCTGTTTTACTTTGACCGATGGAACGACCTATTCTCTCTCCGTTGGACAACATCTTTTGAGTGTTCTTTTGGAGCACTGTGCCACACACTTATGTTCTCTGCTTTATTCATTATCATTACCATGGTACATGATTAATACCAAGACTGACTCTAAGAAGTATGGAAGAGCCAGGTGATAACTGGCTCTTTTAACTCAAGAGTCTTCCCTGCCCACACTGACTCCCCAGTTTATAAAGTTCAGTAGGAAAGTGATTTCCCCAAGCACTCATAATGTATGCAGCAGAGTGGAATCTGAAACCAGGTCATCTGACATTGAGCCCGGCACTTGTACCACCACTCCTAGAGCTGATTCTCCATCAATAGGAAGGTACACAGAGGATACTGGACTGACCCAACCAGGGTTGTCTAATGGCACTCCACTCATTGCATAGCCACTGTATTTATGTATGCATGAGAGAGTATCTGGTGATAAACATAAATCCAGACTTCCACTCATGAAGGATTAATAGGGACCAGATTTATCCTCCCACTATAAACAGAAAACCAGAGAAAACATGTAAAACAACTGTTTTTAGACACTGAAAACAATAAATGCAGAACTATGGTTTCTGGGGGAAAGAAAATGAATCCTACTTTTACCCTGGCTTTCTGCCTAGGTTCCGGGCAGAGCATGAAGATGTCAAGGGGTTAAGGAGGCAGTTGGAAGGTCAGGGCAGTTGAGGCAGCTGAAAACTACAGACAGAGCTCCGGAGAGGAGGGGGCTCTAGATTAGCTTATAAGACAGAAGAGGAGAGAAAAATGGAACCATGAAATACCCAATTAAATCAAAGAATGCAGAAAAAGGAAAAAAAAAAACCCAGAATTTGGGACAAATAGAAAGCTAATTCCCATTTGGACAAAATAGAACCCTGTTTTAAATATAAAGACACAGATATGTTAAAAGTAAAGGGATGGAAAAAGATGCACATGCCATATAATAACATGAAAGTTGGAGTGGCTATATAAGTATCTGATAAATTGTGGAACAAATAAGGATTACCAGGGACAAAGAGTGACATTTCATAATGATAAAGGAGTCACTCCATTAAGAAGATGAAACAATCTGAAATATATGCAGAAATTCGAATTACATGTAACAAAAACCTATTAACCAAAAAGAGAAAGAGAAAAAAAAAAGCACAATTATAGTCAGAGACTTCTACACTGCTCTCTCAGTAAGTGACAGAACAAGCAGAGAGAAAATCAAGTCTGCAGAAGACTTGAACAACACTATCAGCCAATTTGACCTAACTGGCATAGAATACTCCACCCACAAGAGAGCATACATATTTTCCAAGTGCATGTGGGATATAGGCTATACAGTAAACTATAAAGTATCAATATATTTTAAAAGGATTAAAATCAGACAATATAATCTCAGATCACAACAATTAAATTAGAAAGAAACAATAGAAAAATTTTAGGAAAAAATTTCTAATATTTGGAAATTAAATTAAATACCACTAATTAACTAGTATAGGTCAAAGAAGAAATAACAAGAACTGAATGAAAATCACATATAACAGGTACAATGGACACTATCTGAGTGACAGGCACACTTATAACTTTGACTCAAGCAGTATACAAAAGCATGATTACCATGTAATCAAAACACTTGTATCCCCTGTAATATTCTGAAATTAAAAAAATAGCGTAGGCCGGGCGCAGTGGCTCACGCCTGTAATCCTAGCACTCTGGGAAGCTGAGGTGGGTGGATTGCTCGAGGTCAGGAGTTCAAGACCAGCCTGAGCAAGAGTGAGACCCCGTCTCTACTATAAATAGAAAGAAATTAATTGGCCAACTAATATATATATAGAAAAAATTAGCCGGGCATGGTGATGCATGCCTGTGGTCCCAGCTACTCGGGAGACTGAGGCAGTAGGATTGCTTGAGCTCAGGAGTTTGAGGTTGCTATGAGCTAGGCTGATGCTACAGCACTCACTCTAGCCTGGGCAACAAAGCGAAACTCTGTCTCAAAAAAAAAAATAAATAAAAATAAAATAAAAAATAGTGTACAATTCAATGGCAAAAATACACACGAAAAACCCAAACACAATTTGTCAGAATGGATGCAGCTGAAAACTGTGCTTACATGGGTATTTAAATGCATATTTTAGAAAAGAAGGTCCATAATCAATTATTCAAGCTTTCTCTCTAAAAAGTCAGAAAAAGAGCAAATTAAGCCCAAAGCAAGTAGAGGTGTATAATAAAAAGCAGAAATCAATAAAACAAAATAGAGAAAAATTAGTGAAACCAAAAGTTGGCTTTTAAAAAGATCAACACAACTGTTAAACTTCTAGCTAGATTGATTAAAGAAAAAAAGGGAAAAAACACAAATATATCAAGAATAAAAGAGGGGACATCTCTACAGATGCTATAAACATTGCAAGAATAAGCAAATATCAACAACCTTATTTATATCAATACATGCTGACAAGATGAAATGGATAAATGATGTGAAAGACACAAATTATAAAAATGGACATATGACAAGTTAGAAAATTTGTATAGCTCTACTAAAAAGAAATTGAATTCACAATTAAATAATTTCCTGTAAAGGAAACTCCAGGCCAGCATGACTTCACTGGGCAACTAAAGATTTAATCAAAGATCAATACTACACAGAATCCTTAAGAAAATAGGAGAGAATAATTCCCAATTCATTTTATGAGGCTAGAATTACCGTGACAGCAAAAATAGACAAAAACATTAAAGAAAACATGAGACAAATATTCCTTATGAATATAAAAATATTTAATAAAAGTTAAAATCTTAATAAAAAATAGAAACCCCAGGTGAAGTTTATCCTACAAATGTAAGGTTGGTTATATTGAAAAATCAGTTAAAAACTCAACACCCATTCATGACAAAAACTCTAAGCAAATAGGAACAGAAGAAAGCTTCCTCAACCTGCTCTATGAAAAACCTATAGCTAATGTCTGGAACAAGGCAATGATGTCCACTCTCACCATTCAGCATGGTTCTGAATATCCTGGTCAGTGTAGTGAAGCAAGAAAAAAAAATACGGCAGAAAAACTTGAAGTAAAATTGCCTATATTCAGAGTTAATGATGACATATGCAGAAAACCCTAAAAAAAATATATATGAAAACGCTACTAGATATGTGAGTTTAGCAAGATCACAGGATACAAGGATGCAACACAGAAATCTACTGTATTTGTAAAGACCAGCAATAAAAAACTGGAGACAGGGAAGACCATGTGAAGACACAGCAAGAAGGTGGCCTTCTGCAAGCCAAGGAGACTTCAGAAGAAACAAACCCTGCTAACACCTTGATTTCAGACTTTTAACGTCCAGGATTGTGAGAAAATTTCTGTTGTTTGAATCCCCCCAAAAATATTGGAAAATAAAATAAAAATACCATTTTGCAATAAATTAAAACATGCACAAGTCTTATAAAGTGAAAACTAAACATTGCTGAGAGTAATCAAGAAAGACCTTAATAAATGAAAATTGTAACATATTTCATGTATTGGAAGGCTCAATTATTGTTCAGGTATCAATTCTCTCCAAGCTGATTTACAGATTCAATGAAACTCCACTCAAAATCCCAGAAGGCTTTTATTTCTAGAAATTGACTGGCTGATTCTAATATTTACGTAGAAATGCAAGGGATTTATAGTAGGCAAATAATTTTCTAAAAGAACAAAGTTGGAGGACTCACTTGACCTGATTTTAAGATTATAAAGCTACAATAACCAAGACAGTGTGGTACTGGCATAAGGATAGATAGACACACAGATCGATAGAGCAGATAAAGAATCAAAAAGTAGACACACACATATAGGGTCAATTGATTTTTAATAAAAGGGTCAAAGTAATTCAATGGGGAAAGTTTAGCAACCTGCTCAAGATCACAAACTAATACCTGGTGGAGCCAAAGGTCACATCCCAGTGACTGGGCTCCCAAGTCAGTTTCCTTTACTCTTATGTCTATTTCACTGTAGAGGAACGACCATGCCACAGGGGTATCTGACACAGTCCTGTCAGGCCTGCCAAGAACCTTACAAAGGTTCCCTCTCACCCTTTCAGCACCAAGTCTAGTCATTACTCCCATTTCATAGAGGAGAAAGCTTGATTGGGGTCACCCAGGGATTAAGTGGCTGACTTGGAATTTCACCACAGCTGCTGTGTGAAGAATAGCAAAAGTGACAAGTGATGAACAACAAAAGTGATGTAAAATCAATTGGAAATACAAAGAGGGCTCTGGAAATTGTGTTTAAGCCTCACATCAGAGCTTTTCTGTGGGATGCAGGAAGCAAAGAACTGAAAGAAATGAAGCTCTTCCAAAAACCTAACATGGCCAGGGCACAGTGGTTCATACCTGTAATCCCAGCACCTTGGGAGACTGAGTGGGTAGGATCACTTAAGGCCAGGAATTTGGGACCAGCCTGGGCAACAGAGCGAGACCCTGTCTCTACAAAAAATAAAAAAATTTGAAAAACCCAACTGAATCCCTCATGTCACACAAAAAAGAGAAGACCCTCCATTTCTCCCTTCACTGGGAAGAAGAACCTAGCTGATTCTCAGTGATGATTCAAAAGAAACAAGAGAAGTTAAATTTGAAAGGAAAGTCCCCTATAGAAAAGGCTTGTCTCCTTGGCATGTTACATGGCTGGAAGACAGGACCCAAGTTGGATGCTTCTGAACTCTAAAGTCAGCAGGGCCCTGCTCCTCAGCCTGGTTAGGAGTGTGGGCTCTTGTGCCAGAGGGCCCTGACACTGACTAGGCTGGGTGATCTCTGTAAGATATTTAACCACTTTTTGCCTCAGTTTCCTCATCAGTAAAATGGGAATCATACATCCCTTCTACAAGACGGACTATTTCGAGGATTTGAAAAGATAATATATACAAAGCACTTACAACAGTGTCTAGCACTTGGTAAGTGCTCAAGAAATGTTAGCTGTTATGTGTCAGAATCACAGCTTCTTGTCTCATATTTATTGTAGAGACAGTGTGGCATTATTAAAAAAAGAGCCTGAGCAGGCTGTTAGATGAGTCTGGGTTAGATTTCTGGCTCTGCTTCTTCCTGGGTGTCTTCACCTCCCTGAGTCTCAAGTTTTATGATTTTTTTTTTAAATCCTGATCCGTAAATGGGGCTCATGTTATTGTCCTCACAAGGTTGAGGTAAGGATAACAGATATGAGAGTTTAGTAGAGTGCTATAATACTGCTGGCACCACAGATCATCAGTAAATGGACGCTTGTATTATTATTTTTATTATTTCTCACTCCTGGTATCAGGAATGTAACCTAATTCTTTGACCATTGTATCAGGATAAGACAACTTGAAAAAAGGTTCACACTGTTAGGGACAAGTTTCAAGAACACAGTTAGTCTATGATCCGCTTCAAACTAGTGGGATGTCAACATTATTACTTGGCCTGTGTGACTAGAAAATACAACAGCTCAAACTAAAATATCCACCTGGAATTTTAGCCCACGCTGCATCTTAATATAATTTCATTATAGAACACAATGGCTCCTGTTCAGAGACCATTTTCTTTTCTTTTCCTTTCCTTTGTACCTCCTTTCCACATGACCCACAGCTGCTCTAAGGGCCATGTCAGGTGTACACCTCTGGCCCTGCTTCAGTAGTCCCTGCTTAATGTATACCTCCCTCCCTACACTCACTAGGCACAAATGTTTCAACAGTGAGGGAATGACCCGTATAGTGTTTCTACAAAGAAGAACAGAGAGTATGCTGGCAATCTGTACCCCAAGGAGAAAACTCAGCCCTGATGAGCAGACTATGGTAAACCAACAGCAGTCAGAGATATCAGGTTCTGGTCACTGAGGGCTAATGACCTTGAAACACTAGGTGCAAAAACTGGAAGAAGGAGCTTTCTCAGTTACATGAAGCTATGTGTAGATAACAAGCAGAATAATTCACACTGTCTGTGCCTTTTTTTGGTGATGCCTTTCATATATACCAAATCATGTAATTTTCACTATACCCTGTGACACAGCTATTACTCTACCTCCCCACATTTTACAGGTGTCCAAAGTGAGCTGAAAGTAGGTTATCTGGTATTAGAATCCAGATCTGTCCAACATTTTTATACCATTCTTCTATTTCTACTGACCAGTATTGAGAGCTGGTAGGTGCTGTGCCCTTTCTCTTCAACTCATGTGTTCATCACTTTGAGAATCTAATGAAACCACAGACTTTCTACCTATGAGAATCTAATGAAAGCACAAATTTTCAAAGTAGTGCACTAGTATGCAAAATTTTCATACACTTTTGGTGGATGTCAAAGATATCCTATAAGGTTCAATATATAATGTAGGATCCCCATAGACCCTGAGCCTACCCCTAGATCCTTAGGAAACCAACGAGCAATAGAATAATCCTAGAAGCCTGGCAGGAAAATCTAAGTCAGGGTTTGGCAAACTATACTTCATGGGCCAAAGCAACTTACCATCTATTTTTGTATAGAATGTTTACTGGAACTGAGCCATCCTCGTTCATTTTCATATTGTCTATGGCTGCTTTTGGGCCAATGGCAGAGTTAAGTAGTAGCAACAGAGACTGTATAACCACAAAGCCTTAAATGTTTACTGTCTATCCCTTTACAGAAAAAGTTTGCCACCCCCTCACCTAAACCATGTATGGAGAGACTATACCTTCTTCTAAGGGAAGCTTATAGTACAGAAAATGGAAAAGCACCCTGCCAGGAAAGTCGTCATCTCAAATTTTTAAGATTAGGAGAAGCATAGAAAAATGGAACATTCAGCCAACAGAAGTTACTGATGAAACTGCAAGTTGCTGAGGCACTGAGTTGCATTCCAATTGGAATATTCAACAGGCACGAAATATATGATAACAAAATCTCTTCTTGTCTAGGAGGAAGTTAAGGAAGTAATAATGATTAAATGCTACTGCCAATTGTGATAACATAAGAACTAGCCAAAAGGTCTCTCAATCAATGTGAGGGAAAGAGGTCAGGGATTGTGTGTACAATGAGAAAAGAACATAGTAAGGAGGGCTTAGTGAGATAACTGATAATCCCTGAAGGAAAGGAGGGAAGTAATGCTGACGAGCAAGTTGTACCATAAGAGGGAAACTTTGTAGGTAACTAAAATAACAAACACTAAAATGAAAGAATTTCACTTGATTAAGAGAGAAGTCAAGTGTTTCAGTATAACCTTTCCCTTCAGACTTCTCTGACTTACATTATCCAGGTCCTTCCTCAGTGCAATCTTGCTTGTCACCAGCTCATGGGCTAAGTCATCGTTTTCCTGTTCCAACCTCATGTTAGCTTCTTGTAGACGCCTATTCTCCCGCTGAAGGGTAGAAACAAACCAGTTACAGACACATAAAAATCACATGGAAATGACAATTTCTCATGGCTAAACCTCAAAATGAATTTCTGTATCTTATGGAAATAATAAGATATGTGGCTGGTCCTGATGTGTTTCTAAATCAACACTTTCTTATTTTCTATCTCCATAAAGAAATACTTAACTGATTTAAGTGACCTTGTCAAGTAGCTACTTAACTGTGATGAAAGGCCGCAGAACTATAACAAACTAGGCAGCTGGTGTGAAGCAAAAAAGATCTTGCTTTCTCATTTGTAAACTCAAACTTAAACTTGAACCCAGAAACAGTGGAACTGAATTTTAAAAAAAGATGTATAAAGCTAGTTACAGGCACAATTATATGAAATGAAAGGCTGGAAGCTCCTCACATCATCTAGGCCATAAGTAAACAAACCTCAAATCGCTCGATGGGGTCTTCTTGTTGGGCCTGCTGTTCCCTCATGGTGTGATATTCTTTTTCATATTTTTTCAACTTCTTCTGACTAATCTGTAGGATAAATCATAGCACAAATTAAGAAGTATCAGAAAGTGGTGGGTACTTCAGTGCCTACACAGAGGAGCAAGACTTCTGGTGATCTAAGCAACCCAGTCACAAATGGAAGTGGTGTTTCCTGTTTTTTTGGAGTGAAATCATCAGAGTGGGGTATAAGCCAAGAACCCAAAATTCCTGCTCAATGACTACTATGTCCAGGGTTCTGTTGGAGATATTTGGTTCTTAATATTTTAATGAACACTCTATAGATGGCACCTCTTATGTGAGTTCTGGGTCCTACTTGCCCTAATAATAATAAGCGTCCATCTTACTTAGCATATACCAGCAGTGCTGCTAAATGCTTTAAATCTGTGACCTCACAACACTTGTACACTATTATCATCCTCATTTTACAGGCAAGTTAACTGAGGTATCAGGTAGTTGGTTATGTAACTTGACCAAGGTTATTCAATAAGGGACAGGCAGATCTAGGATTTGAGCCCAGGTGTTTGGACTCCATCAAAAGTCCAAATTGTAGGCACCTCACTATCCTACCACATCTCTATCTCCTGTCCTCCCTACTAGCTCCTTCTGTGCTGCCTTCAAATACGGACAATTCTCTCTGCCCTTAAAGACACAGCTCTGCTGACCACTCCACTTAGATGCCCTTTCACCCCATCAAACTACTGTCCTTCTCTCAAGCCTTTTCTTACCAACCATTGCAAACCACAGGCCTATATCTTCATGTCCATTGCTTCATAATCTCTCCCTCCTTAATCTCTATAAATCAGGCTTTTGCTCTTACTCTATAGAAAGTACCCTCTTGAAAGTCACTCGTGGTGTTTTACTCTGTCCAGTGGATCCTACCTCTCCTAACTAGACATCAAACTTCTTGACTTTCATGCTTCAACATAACCACTCCACTTCTTTTTCTTCTAGAAAATATTTTCTCCCTTTATTCTCTTGGCTTTCCTTCTACTTAACAGGTTTTTTCCCTCTTTACTGGCTGGCCCCTTTCTTTCTTCAATCTAAAACCCTAACTAAGGCCCAAGGGCATATCTTTAAGATGCAGTTTGTCTTTTGTTTGATTCCTTCTTCCAAACTGCTAACTCATTCCCTAGGGTGTTTTTTAAATTACATTTTTTAAAATTATGAGACATAATAGAAAAGTGATAAAACTGATATGTACAATTTAAAGTATGATGATAAAGCCAATATTCATCCCTTCTTGAAGCTTCAATAATCTGCCTGTTAGGTCTCCAGGTCCAGGTTACTAAAAGTCTCAGAGCTAGTAGAGTCCAACTTCCTTATATAATAGATGAAGAAATTGAGATCTAGAAAGGTGATGGAAAAAGGCCATATTTGTGGCACAATGGTGTCAGCATCTCCCTGTTCTGTTATGCCCTTTCAGTCTTACTTGAGCTGCCTGGTGTTCCTCTCCCACTGACTCTGTGAACACCTCCCCTAGTTGGGATCTTATAGCCCTGCTTTGATCAGAGCTCTATTCCTGGAGTTTGGCTGCTGTGCAAGGATGGGTGGGAAGGAAGACAGCACTATGCTCTGGCTACAGTCTATAGCAAGATGCCCATCCAACATTTGGGGTGAGGCACAGCTAGACAGCAACATCTTTAAATCCAGATCTTCTGTGGTTTAAGGTCAATGCTGGGATAAAGTTTTATTGCGTACCTAAGTGACCCACAAAGAAAGCACCTAAATAAAATGTCTGTGTGATTAGTAAATGTTATAAACAATCCTAATGGATCAACAGTAGAGGAACAGAAAATAAATGAGGCTTGTGGGCAGCACATACTTCATCCCAGTGCTCTGCAGTGTGAGTGGGAAGGGACAGCAGCAGGTATGAGGTGCCTTCAGCACTTTGAAAAAATCAATTGACATCAAATCCTGTAAAACTTTTCATTCTCAGCTGGGATAAGGAAGAATTAACATTTTCCCCCATAAAAATACATTTTAAAGGGCTAATCACAAAACAATTTCTTCCATATTTCATGAACCTGTATTATAACTGCCTTATCCTCACAGAAAAAGGGTTGATTTTCCCGTAGCATTGTAACAACAATTAATGTATGCTGAATACCTGGTAAATGCTAGAACCTTTACACAGGACAACCTCTCATTTGCTTCTTACAATTTTGTGATAGGCTATGGGTATTTCTTTTCACTTTTCCCATGTTTTCCAAGATTTCTGCATCGAGCATGAATTGTTTTTATAAATAAGAAAAACAAAAATGCTGTTTAAAAATCATTCTCATAAAAAAAAAAAAAGGAAAAAAATCATTCTTGTGATTATCCTGGGCTTCTCTATTCTTGCTTCTGAATCAATCCTCAGAGGTTGCCTCTCACAACCTCTAGGCACACACAAAGCTCAGCCATCTTCCACAGAGCTTGCTGGTCCAAAGTTCTGACTTCTTTATCAGCTCAGGGACTTCTTTATCAGCTCTTCCCATTCTTTAGCCTCACTTGTTCTCAGTTTCTCTCTCTCCCTCTCCTCTTCCTTAAATACCTCTTCCTCCATTCTTACCACAAACACAAAATAAAAACACCATAGCTTTCATGGGTTCACAGCTGATGCTGACTTCTATAGTGTGGATGGCTACATACCAGAGCCAGCCAACTCAAGCTACCTATGAGGCACCAAACCCCAAGACAAAGACTGCCTCCTGACATCTGAATGGGGAACCAGAAGGTGCCAGCAGCAGAAGCAGCAATTTAAGCCTCCTTCTGAGACTGCACCCAGGACAGACCAGCACCTCTCAGCCTGCCTGTCACATAATCAATGTCTTCTCCAGGCCAGAATTGTGTTTCACTCATTGCTGTCCCCTGCCCATGCACATAAGGAGTGCCCAGAAATACTTGCTAAATTAAGGAGAAAGGACCCTGCTTTTCCTTGCATTGACTTTTCTTCTAAATAGAAATGTCATCCAAAGTGAACATGCAGTGCAAGCCTATTCTTTCTGCCTGGATAACCTCCACCTGGCTCACTCCCATTCACCTTTCAGATCAGAGCTCCAACACCACTTCTTTTATAGCAAACCCTGTCCCCTGTCGGGCTATGTCTTTTGGTTATACATGAGCATTCTCATAACATCAGGTCAATGCCTCCATGGCACCTGTCCAAGTTTACAATTATTAGGTGCCTACTTAATTGTCTGTCTTTCCAATAGGAAACAGGCCACATCTGTTTTGCTTACCACTGTATCTCCAGAATGTAACTGGGACTCTAATCAGATGTTGAACAAATCAAAGGCAAAGGCCTTCCTTTTAACCTATTAACGATGCACCAAGAGTATTTATCCAGTAGTTGAGCACTACTACAATGCAGTATTCTTTGCTGGGCATTAGTGATATGAAGACATACACAGATCCCAATATGCAGACTCCATGAGGGCAGGAACTCCTATTCATTGTGAAATTCCCAAAGCCTGTCACATAGTAAGCATGAAAATACTTAATGAACAGAGACTTCAAAGTCCAAGATTCATTTGGTGTCTTATTTATAAAAATAGCATTTTAATTGAATTCAGGAAGCAGGGGAAGCTACAGATTCAGCCCCAGAGCTCTGAATCATACCCATTGTTAGCCAACTCCTATCAGATGGCTTTGGTAATCACAGCTTCACACATAGAGATATTTTTGCCCTCAAAGAAGATTAAATTTGAAATTCTGTCCTTGTTCTGTTTAAACATACTTTCAGGGGGAAAAGAACCCTAACAAATTCCTAGGATAAGATGGGATTTGTAATTTAGGTAAAACCAATTTTATATACTGTTGCAATTAGTGTAGTGCTTTTTTTTTTTTTAAGACAACAGAAGTTTATTTCTCTTTCATGTAAAAGTCCATGATACACACACACACACCCACACACCCACACACACACTACTTTTCTTTATCCACTCATCAATTGGTGGGCACTTAGGCTGATTCCATATCTTTGTAATTGTGAATTAGCACAGTTACTCTTGCCACTGTTTAGGGACTGTACCACTTTGAAGGTCTCTTGAGACCCATGGTTTCTCCCCCCTAAAAAGAGCACAAAAGCCAACTTCCCCTCTCCCCCAACAATAAATCATCCTGCATACCATTTCAGAGGACTCATGGCCCCCTGAGGCCTATCCATGGTCCCAGGTTAAGAAACCTTGAATTAGAGAGAAGGTAGAAACTTGAGGCATGCCAGTTTGATATTTTGGTAGAAGTACAAATTCAGTACAAAACACCTCTCCTTTGGTATTAATCTGTCACAGGAACTGGACAATGCACTTGGCCTGGGGAAGCTGGTCTCTGATCAGCCTCTGGAGCAGGCAATGATGTTGAGGCCCTCGCAGGTGGAGAAAGAGAGTGGCTGTGACCTGGACAGGAGTGAGGTGGTACAGCCTGACAATTAAGAGTTTGAGCTTTGCAGGCAGATGGACAAAGGCTCTGCAACAACTTGCTGTGGCACCAAGGGCAAGCTGCCTAATCTCTCTAAATCTCAGCTTTCTCATCTGTAAAAATCCTAACAGTCTTTACGAGGATGACTGTTATGAGGATGAACTGATATAAAATGTATATAAAGTGCTCAGAACAGTGCCAAAAATACAGTGAGGTCTTTTCAACAAATGGTATTACTTGTTTTTTTTTTTTGGCATCCTGTCCTAAATCAAGAGACAGTGCTATTCTCTGAACATGTGCTGCAAGCAATGGGCCATTTAAACAAAGTCTATTTAACGCAGAAAAGCATGAAATAGGCTGACTTTGGAAGAGGAGCTGATTTCCAAGTCTGGCTTCAAAAACAGTTGCAAAGGTCAGAATCCCTGCTGGGCTGGAGTCATAGTAAGTCCAGTGAAGGTGGGAAATTGACTGTTAGTAGCTCTGCATAGTGAGGCTGAATTATGTTGTCTGGGTAAGTGGGCGAATGGTGGGGGTAAGAAGAGGTCTGGTAGATTAAGGAGATCCTGACTCCCAAAGTCCTCACTGCTTTGTGTGGTAGGATTAACAGGAAGCTAAAGATGTCTGTCACATGTCCATTTTCTTGATTAAGAATGCTTTGAGCAGGGACTATGATTTTCATTGCTGATTAAAAGAACCTAAAATTTACATAGGACTTTAAAGGTAACAAGATGCCTCTATACTATTTTGTTTAATCATCAAAACAACTTTTTGAGATGGACAGAGCAGGGATTATTTCTCTCATTTTACTGATGAGAAATCGACACCTAGATAGGTTAAGTAACTTGTCCAAAATCAAGAACCCAGTGTTAAGTGTCAACACCAGCATAAGAATGCAAATCTGGGGCGATTCTTATTTCTTATTTATCTCTGTAGCCTGCTTAGTATTGAGAAGAGTTCTTGGCACATAAGAAAATCTATAAATGTTTGATAACTTGGACTGATGACAGTACTCTGGATGCATGTGCAGAGAAGGTCAAAACAAGGCAGGCCAAAAGAGCTTTGGTGTTTGAGAGATGTGAGCAACAGCTATATCAAACTCACTCTGTTGCTCAGGCTGGAGACGCACAGTGGCTGGTCACAGCTCACTGCAGTCTTGAACTCCCAGGCTCATGTGATTTTCTCGCCACAATCTCCCAAGTAGCTGGGACTACAAGCATGTACCACTACAACTGCCTAGCTAATTTTTTTTCGTTTTTTTAAATTTTAGAAATAGGGTCTCCCCTTGCTGCCCAAGCTAGTACTTTAAAGGCATTATCTTATTTCTCTGAGGCAGAGCCAGGATAAGAGCCAAGGTCTGTGGGACCCCAAGGCCTGTAGTCTTAATCACTTGAAAGAAACATTCTATTTAATTTCTGAGCTTTTAGATTTAATTTGTTCAAATAGTTCACACTCAAACTCCTTCAAAGATCACAAAATAGAATTAGGCATTCTGGTTCTACCATCAGATTATTTTTCTAAAATGCAAAAAACATATTAGTAACAGAGAAACCAAACAGATAAAGACTAAGGGAGACAAGCTTATTAAAATAAGAAAGTGGTATCCACTACTGCCCTTTTGACAGCTGGCAAAATTCAAGGCTCATTACAGAGAAAATCCCATTCTAAAAGGTAGGAACAAGCAAAGAAATAAAACTACAATCTGATCTAGTTATAAGGAAAGCTGAACTTAGCTACAGTGTATAGAGAGTAAGTTTCAACTCTGACACAGAGACTGAGTTACCCATCATTACATGACAACATCACCAAAAAGGGACCAATACCTCATAGCTCTTGTCCCATTCATTCAATCCTTTATTTACAGTATAGCACAATGATTATAGGAATTGACTTCACAGTCTGAAACTCCTCGGATCTAATCCCTACTTTACCACTTACCAACTTTATACCCTTTGAGAATTTACTTCAATTCTCTAAGTCTCAGTATACTTCTCTATTAAATGACCTCATGTGGTTACTGTGAGGATTATTCCACTACTTTAGGGCACTATGTAAGACTCTGTGAATGCACCGACAAGACTGATGAGCTCACTGCCCTCATAGAGCTTAAATCCTAATACATATTGACTGCACAAGTGATTTGAAAAAGCAGTGAACTTCAAATTAGTGTTGGTTTTAGCTCATGAAAAAATTATTCCCCAAGGGCAAATATTCCCGGATGTCAAAGAGTTTTGTTTCTCTCTGAATAGAAAATGGTTATGTTTATATTAATTTGGAGATACTGCTATTTTGTTTTTCTCACAAATAGTTTGAATTCTGGCACATTCACTTTATGTCTGAAATAACAAATTCCAACAAAGCAATGGTACAGAAATTCCATTTCACCTTAAGCAAGATTCTGTAGCAAAATGGTCAAGTCTTCAAGTTTGATCTAAGAAACTCAGTGAGCTATCTCCTATAGCATGGTTCCTATTTCTTTGAAACTTGCCTCACATATCTGACTTGTTCTCAAAAATCCCTATAACAGACATAGTTTCCCTCTCATATTTCTTAAATCAAAACTTTACAAGACCTAGGAATTTGTTTTTTTCAATCCCCATGTCCCCACAGATTATGTATACATAGCACAATTATGAGTATGGAAGGGTTGTGGGAGCTTTCAGGACCCTTCATGATCTCCTGGAATAAGCTATTTAGAATGGAATTCCTTTTAGATCTGATATCAGAAGTGGAAAACAATCTTTCTATCTCAGGTCATCAACCCATAAAAGGAGACTGATGTATGTTGTTAAATTTTAAATTAAGAATAGAGGATTTAAACTCCTCAAGAAATAAATACACTATTTCAGAACCATAATAAGTTCACTCTATGGAGAAAGAGGGAAAAGTAGAGAAGTAAAAGGCTTGGAAAAAGAAGTAGAGAGGCAAGTAAGGGCAGAGACAGAGAATGATACATAGAGGGGGAAAAAAAAACCCACGGGCAGAGAAGAATATAGACCTTTATGAGCAATACACCCATCTTGTGGCCATTTCGGATATTGCCACACCAAATTTAATTCTTGTTGCACTTTTGCAATAAGAGGCAGTGGAATGGAGTGGAAAGCAGTGGAGTCAGAAGTTCTACTAGGATTCCTGTCACTGTACAGCCAATACCACTTGGGTAAGTCACTTGACTTCTGTAAGCCTCAGTTTCTACACTTGATTTGCCCTATGTGCCTCACAGAGTAATGTGAGGAAAAAATAAGACGCTTGTAAGAACTATACAAACACCAGAAATTACAACAACAATATCATAATGTTAATACACAACAACGAGAACAAAAGTAGCTATGTGTTTCCTAGACTGGCATGTCAAGCAAATTCCCACAGCTGACTCTTGAACAACACAAGGATTCAGGGTGTGATGCGCTGTACAGCTGAAAATCCATGTATAACTTTTGACTTCCCCCCAAATTAATTACTAATAGTTACTATTAACTGGAAGTCTTACTGACAACATAATCAATTAACACATATTTTGTCTTTTATATATGCATTATATACTGTATTTTTACAATAAACTAAGCCAGAGAAAAGAAAATATTAACAAAATCATGAAGAAATTATATTTACTATTCATTAAGTGAAAATGGATCATCATAAACATCTTCATCCTCATCATCTTCATGTTGAGTAGGGGGAAGAGGAGGAGGAAAAGGAGGGGTTGGTCTTGCTGTCTCAGGGGTGGCAGAGGCACAAAAGGTAGAAGGGGAGGCAAGAGAGGTGGGCATACTCGGTGCAACTTTTATTGAAAAAAAATCCACGTGTAAGTGGACCCATGCAGTTCAAACCCATGTTGTTCAAGGGTCAACTCTACAATTGAATAAATTGAGCCACAATTTTAAAACAATTAAAATATGATGGAAAAGGATTTCATTGAGTTGCAGAGCAAAAGTTTGCTTTGTAAATTCTGCACCAAAAATTCAAAAGCTTGTTTTGAAACCATTCACATACCATGAACTCCCTTTTCCATGTCTAAAGGTGAGTCCAAAACTATAGTCTCTCATGTGTACTTCCTGTGCTGAGACACTCCTACCTCATGCAAGCCACAGAACGCAAGGCTCATGACGCACTTACCAATGATTTTTCTTAATTTTGAACTGGCAAATTACACTATGAATTATCACTTTCCCAATAAATGGTTCAACTATTGTCTATATCTCCCTTAATATTTTTCGGTATTAAGTATAGCTGCCAAAGGACAACTAATTATCACAAACTAAACTGTACACACCGTATCTCACCTTTTGGCAGAAAAATCCCATTCTCTCCTGTCCTGGTAAATCTGCAGGCTCTCCATGCTGTGAGTCAATTTCAAGAAAAATTACTATCTCACCTGAAATAATGTGCAAATAGGGGGAATCATCCAAAGTGTACCCCAAACATACAAAGTTCTCCAGGGCTAAAAGGAATTACATATCTAAGCACAAAATACAGTGCTATGTAGACATGCTGAAGGCAGCCTTGTCAGACTTAATTCACTGAAATAATAGGCAAGAAAAAAAAGACAATAGACACCTCCCATCTGGACTATGGAAATAAAGGATCCATATATTATTAAAGTGTTTCAAGCTAATGGAAATTCAAAAGGCAAAACCCCTGGCTGGAAGCTATTTTCAGGCTTTGCCCAAATCCATGTTAACTCTTCTTTGTAAATCACTTAGTAGAAACTCAACAGTGTATTTATTCATTTACTTATTCAACCAGTATTTATATACCAGATCCTATTCTTAGTTCTGAGGATTTAGCAGTAAACAAAAGAAATAAAGGCTCTTTTGTTGTAAAGCTTCCACTCCAGTGGGGGAAAATAAGATAGGGTAAGGAGATAGGGGTATAAAAGGTTGGGGGGGGGAGCTGCTACTTTATATACTGTAATTAGAGAGGAAGGCCTCACTGATAGTTGAGACTTTTATTGGGTGAGGTGACAGTAAAGACACACAGACATCTAGGAGAAAAACATTACAGGCAGAGAAACTAGCAAGCACAAAGGCCTGAGGAGGCAAACATGTTTGGCAAGTCTGAGAACAGCACCAAGGTGTCTGCAATGGAAAGAGCAAGGGGGAAAAGTATTAATAGTAGGGGATAGGATCAGAGAAGCTTCCAGGTCCAGGCCTTGTGGACCACATACATGTACATGACTGTGCCAGGCTCTGTGGGCCATATACACGTGCATGACTGTGCCAGGCCTTGTGAGCCATGACAAGAAATCTTGAGTTTTACTGTGAGATAAGAAGCCAGTACAGAGTTTTAGGCAAGGTAGAGATGGGACTGAGAAAAGCCTGGGAGGGGTCCACTGCAGAAACAGGAAATGATGATGATGATGGTTAGGTTAGGGTGTCAGTTATGAGGGTGGTGATCAAAGTCAGGATATATTATGACAACAGGCTTAAATGTGGAGTGTGAGAAAGAGAGGAGTCCAGGATAATAGCAAGGTCTTTGGCCTGAGCAACTAGGTACCACTAACTGAAATGGGAACACTGAGAAAGGAGATTTTGGAGGAAAAGAAATCCTAAGCATCCTCTTGTATGCTGAAAGAGTGACTCAAAAGAATCTCAGAACTTACTTAGTTTTATGTTCTGTGCAAACCCATTCTCTTTGAAAATATTACTGGAAAATATTTGATATTTGCTTGAAAACCCAGATAGGATATAATTATAGTAGTAGCCATTGTTTCTTGAACCATTAGTAATTACCAGATACTATGTTAAGCACTGTATATACCATATCCACTATGTCTTTTTCTTTCTTTTTATTTTATTTCATTTTTAAGGGTCTGTCTCCTCGAGTGGAGAGAGACAGACCAACTCACTCACTCACCCATCCACCCACCCATTCACTTCCCCATATCCACTATGTCTATGTGAGCATTAAAACCTACACATGGTTTCATACTCCCCTGGGATGTGTTATATCAGTTTATACATACTAGCTTTGAGTTACTCGTTTCAGGAATCCAGGCATTCCTTTATCTTAAGTTATTATAGGTATTTAAACGTTTCTCGGGTTGTATTTTATTTAGCTTCTCTATGTGTTAAAAAGAAGGGTAGTCTACGAGTTAGCTCAGTCTGACATATAACTAGAATCAGAAGTCCAATATTTTACAGATGAGGAAATTAAGGCTTAACTAGGTGAAGTAACTTTGAATTCAGATCTCTCCAATTCCAAGTTGCTGCTCTATTTTGTAAATAGTACAGCTTATCCCCTACTACCACATCTGCCTGATACACTGATACTAGTTCTATTCTCTGGCACCAGATTAAGTAAATTTGACAGTCTTTTATGTACCCTATATCTACCCATAAATTCCAAGCTAAACCCCCTCAATTATTTTTTTCTTTAAAAATACTTTACTTTTTATTATAACATGAACACAAAGAGATCCTATATCTTTTTACTTGAAAATAATTGTACAAAGCACAAATGCCATTTGAAGTGATAAAATTGAGGGGGTTTTCTTCAGTATTAATAGTTTCATTTTAAGGAATTTCTGACCATAAGAACAAATGCTAAAAGTTAAAAGCCAGCACAGGAGAAGTCATGAAATCTGAGTTTTGCCACTAATTAGTTGTAAGATTAAAGGGCTACAGCCTCTTTGTGTTTTGGTTTGTCTTCAAAATGGGGGTAATACTATTCCTAGAGTTCAGCAGAAAGGCAGGCAATGAGACTTAATTCATAGAATATACATGAAAGTATTTTGGAGAAAAAAGGCAAAAATTATATAATACAGAAGAAAATATCATTATTACCAGGATTATTTATGTATTATGTTAATAGTTTGATCAGGAATAGTAAGGCATTAACTGAACAAAAGGATCTTAGTTAATGCAAAAATCATTTTACCTTCATGTTGCAAGCTAATTCCATTAGTTTTTTTGCATTTTCTTCTGAGCGGTATCTCTTAGGAAGCTGAACCCTGAAGAACTTCAAGGCACCTTCAAAGTCTGTCAACAGTAGGTCATCCTTAGAAGTCTTGAAGAAAGTAAGAAGATACAACCACATATAGAAAAAATGTATGCCATAAAGAAGCATAAGAAGCATTTTATAACCCCTGCACTTTTATAATACCCGGAAAATATTTGTTAGTTTTGTCAGAGCCCCCTACACATATCCATGGTCGGGGACAATGAGAGTATTGACTACTTAGAATGAGATTAAGATCAACATATTGACAGTGCTGAACAGGGAATGCCAGATAACTCAGCTTAAGAATAAACGAGTACCTTTAATAATCCAAGGGCGACATTAAAAATAACACTTATTCCCTAAAAGAGAAAAGACAAAAAGAACAATTTCAGTGTTTATATCTGGACTAGTATGCTATTTGTTCTCAGAATACCCCACATTTTTAGAGAAATTGCGGAAACTTAAGTAAGGAAATGCATTATCTCAGAACTGCCCTGAAAAATAAAAATATTGTAGAGCCAACACTCAAAAGCTACTAAAAGTAGACCTAGTTTCTCATTTTTCTTAGAGAAGAGCTTTTCTTGCCCCATTCTCACATTCAACAAGAAAGAATGCTTCTCCAAAGTATTCCATGCTTCCGAAGCAAAATATAAAGTCATGGTCTATCAGTAAATAACTCCTGGTGGAATTTTCCTTTATCTTGTGCTGTTCCAATCCATGTACAGTAACCACTCCATCCATGAGACCAATATTCCAGAACTGAATCTGCTCAGGGATCCCTCCAATCTGCCTTCCTTCATCTAACCATTCCAGGAATCATGCGGGCAAAGGACAAACGAGGGAGGGACTAACCTCTGTTGACCAAGTTAAACTGCTAAAGTTTCCAGGCCTCAGTTTCTATAACTAATATTCTCACAAGGGTTTTTTTAACCCTTTAATTAACTGCAAAATTTATGTGAATTAATTAGCATAACACCTGGTTTTTAGTAACTATTTAACAGATGGTTGCTTATAATAGTGAAAAACTAGATACAATTTAAATGTTTGGGATTAGAAATTTGTTACATAAATTATAGCACATCCAAATAATAGGATACTTGGCAACAAGAATAATTGTAATATTTGATAATGTTTATTTCTTCTACTGTTTCTTAGAGCATCTCAAGCTGGGTGGTAGATACAAATTCTTTACGAATTTGTATGTTTTGAGTATGGCATAATGAACACAAACAGAAGGAAATTATGGATGTGTATGTTCAGATATATATAATTAAAAAAGATACCAAAGACTATATACAGTATATATATTTTTAAATATACACATATAATATTTCAGATAGAAATTACACACATACATATGAACAGAAAGGCGGAAAGAATATAGACCAAACTATTAAAAGTAGTTAACCTCTAAGGAGTGGGACTAGAAGTATTTTAAATTCTTTTAGCTTATGTTTTCTATAGTTTAAGTAGTAAACATATATTATTTTTATAATTAGTTATTTTTTCTTAAACATACACTGCCCCCGCCCTCCAACCCACAAAATCCCTGAACTATGCTATGGCAAAGACTGTTACTTACTCCAGTATCTATTTTCTTGTTTGTAATAAGTTCTCAATTTTTTAATTCTCAAATTCCTATCTGGCTTGAAAAACAAAATCCCTCTTGTAGCTAGATGTGGTCATATGACTAAGACCTGGGCATAAGTAAAAATGCTGGGTGGAACTTCTGGGAAGTCTCTTTTAAAAAGAGGGATACATCCTCCCCCATTCCCTAACTCTACTGGCATGAATACAGATCATCATGGCAGGAGCCCTAATCCACCATAAGGATAAGAAAGAGCCATACTCTATGGCAGGGGTCCTCAAACTTTTTAAACAGGGGCCAGTTCACTGTCCCTCAGACTGCTGGAACGCTGGACTATAGTTTAAAAAAAACTATGAACAAATTCCTATGCACGCTGCACATATCTTATTTTGAAGCAAAAAAAACAAACAGGCAAAAACACCCGCATGTGGCCCGTGGGCTGTAGTTTGAGGACGCTTGCCTATGGAAACGCAGGCTACTTACTGCAAATGTTCTGACTTCTTTTACTTGAGAAATACTTTTATTTTATTTAGTCACTGTTATTTTGGGGTTTCTTTATTAAATACAACCAAGCCTAATACTAATACAAATGTCTAGTATAGTATGTATTTCATAGCAGAGTGTATCTTTAACAAACGGAGCTTTTAGCCCAAGGAAGAGTCATTTAAGCCTGGATTTCCCAAAAAGAAATAAATGAGAACAAATTCTGCTATGACAGAGCTGACACAGGAAGTACACTGCAAACGAAAGCCAAAGTGCTGTGACCTCTGATACATACCTCACATAAAAGCAGGTCGATGATATGAAAGACCATGTAGAGAGGAAATTTTGCAGTGAAAAGCGTAAGAAACCACTGGGAGGCATACATGTGTGCTTCAAGGCTTATATCCAGGAAGTGGTTGTACAGGTCAGGAATGTACTCCTGAAATAGCAAACTAATTAGTTCTGGGCACATATGCATCTGTCAAACTCCCACTGAGGAGGCTCATAAATCTACCAGCAATAGGCCAAAAAAGTCATATACTTAATGTTTTTCTAAAAATCTCCAAAGTGCTCAGAAGAACACTTATCATCTGGTATTAAGCTGGCACTTGGTTCTCTTTTCTAGATCACAAACTAGCTCTAAATAAAGAGGAATCCCCCTAATGGTGACAAGTATTTGGGAAGCCAATTTTCTTTACAAGTTATAAAAATGTTTAGGGAAGTTTGTTCCACTTATGAGAATCCTAACCAGCTTGGTGAATACTTCTTTACTGTGGAAAAGGCCAATACAAAATCATCTGCTCTTTTGGATGTTTATCAGATCACACTTACCAGGTTCACATGTAGTTAATCCTGGCATCATCATCACACAGTGAGAAATGATAAAAATAAAACCTGTCCTTAACCATGGAATGGCTAAGGCAATTATCATTGCTCCCTGGGATCACATTATCAATCTAGTTTTCCCTAATCCTGTACTCTTCAGTCAAACATAAGCTAGTTTCTCTTTTTTACCTGCATGAGGCGCTCCAACTGGTAAAATTTGCAATGCAAATCTTCAAAGTTTTGCTTGAAAAGTTCCCTGAGGCCATAGTCAAACATGATCTTGACCAGAACACTGAATGCCTGTTCTTCAGGCATCTGTAACAGATAGGCGAGAGGGGGAGGGAAAGCGGGGGGAGGGGGGGGAATCACAAAACATACTTAAGTATGTTAAATTCATATATTCATATAGAAGATCAAATTAGTCTTTTTATTGTCTCAGCAGAAAATTTAGTGCTATAAAAAACTTGGGTCTAAAGTTACATTTTATAACATTCATTCACTCAGCCAAGAAACAGTTAATGATGCCTACTCTGTGTCAGCACTGTTCTTGTCCTCAAGGAGTTTCCATACAACTATTATATATTAAATGTAAAATGAATTAGAAAGATCACTAATAAAAAAGAACAGGAAGTTTTTACTTTGCCTGAGGAAGTCAGGAATAGGCTTTGAAGAAAGGACAGAATTTGAGCTAAGTAGGAAAAGGCTGATACACAGTGTAGGTGAGACAGCATTTTACCTCTCTTAGCTGCTATTCATTCTAGTAAAACTATTTCTGTTTCCTCATTGCTGTTAAAAACATAACTTGCTATAGAAGAAGTTTACACATTCTAAGGCTTGCAGTAATGCTTAAGATGCTTGCAGTAATGTTAAAAAGTACTACAAAAACCGTCTTCACTTCTATTTACAAATGCTATTCATTTATAATAATACCTACATCTTCCAAAGCTTTATGGAAAAACAGTTCTCTGAGAAGCTGTCAAGAAGTCTAGTTTTCAAAAAAGGGGAAAAAAATCCCACTGTAAACATTATTTACGGCTTGGTGTGACTACAGCAAGCCTTCAGAACAGTCAAGGTGGCAGATAGGCTTCTGTGGAACAAGACAGAGGTGGGCTGAAGAACATGGAAATCACTGAGAATAAAGCAGAGCTAAAAAGCAAATTGGATTAAGTAACAAATTAGAAAAGCATAGCAGATTATTACTGGAAAGGTAAGAGCATTTGGGGCAAAGACGAGATCTTTGAAGTCTTTGTCATGGAAACAAAGTTCAGTTTGCTACATGTGAAGGAAAAGGTGGCCTGACCCACAGTGATGATTCTCATGCTAGGTAGCCCATCTCTCCTCACTCTGAAACAAGCATTTATCTTAACAGTATGGCAAGCAGCAAAGAGTTAAAAACAAGCCACCGAGGATTTGATCAGAAACTCACTTTTAAGGGGTTATGATACTTAAATAAGGATAAATGTCCGTTGGCTGAAGGTAAGAACAAAGATAAGTCTCACATATGTTGTGAGACTTCGAGATATAAACTCTGATTAAAACAACAAAATAAAAACTTGACCTTTTTTTTCTTATTAATGTCAGAACTTTATCATATTTTCACATGACTACCAATACTAACAAGCTAGGTTCACAGTTAAGAAAAACCAAAGTAGTTTCTGTTTTATTTGTACAGGCTGAGCATCCCAAATCCGAAAATGTGAAATGCTCCAAAACCTCAAACCTTTTGAGTGCTGACCTGATGCTCAAAGAAAATGCTCATTGGAAAATTTTGGACTTTTAGATTTGCGATGCTCAACTGGTAAAATGCAAATACTCCAAAATCTGAAAAAACCTGTCCAAAAACACTTCTGGTCCCAAGCATTTCAAATAAGGGATATACAACGTGTATTGCAACCTACACAAAATGGCTTAATACCCTCCACAAGCTCCCCATTGCTTAAAGAAGTAATATCTAGACTCACTGACCTGCCTCCATGGCTGTCCCTAGCTCTCCCCCCCACTCCCCATCACTCAAGTTGTTCTAGTCACACTGCCCTTCTTTGGGTTCCTTCCATATTCCCAGTGTTTTCCCGTTTCAGAGTTTCTATATATTGTACTATTCACTTTGCCACTGATGTTTTACTCTGCATTCTCTTCCTTTTAAAACTGTTTTATCATTTTATAACATTAAAAAGAGTCAACACAGAAAAATACAAAAGAGAATGATATCTCTTCTCATTTTTCAAGTTGTACCTTAAAGGTTACCTACCTCCTCAGAGAAGCCTTTAACCTAAATAAGCCTCCCTGATAATTTTTTTTTTGTTTTGTTTTGTTTTTTTTTTGAGACAGAGTCTCACTTTGTTGCCCAGGCTAGAGTGAGTGCCATGGCGGCAGCCTAGCTCACAGCAACCTCAGACTCCTGGGCTCAAGCGATCCTTCCTGCCTCAGCCTCCCGAGTAACTGGGACTACAGGCATGCGCCACCATGCCCGGCTAATTTTTTCTGTATGTATTAGTTGGCCAATTAATTTTCTTTCTATTTATAGTAGAGACGGGGTCTTGCTCTTGTTCAGGCTGGTTTTGAACTCCTGACCTTGAGCAATCCACCCGCCTCGGCCTCCCAGAGTGCTAGGATTACAGGCGTGAGCCACCGCGCCCGGCCCCTCCCTGATAATTTTAAGTCAAACTTTTTTTTTTTCTTGAGACAGGGTCTTACTACAGTAAGACAGTGCCGTGGTGTGATCACAACTTACTGCAACCTCTAACTCTCGGGATCCTCCTGCCTCAGCCTCCTCAGTAGCTGGGACTAGAGGTATTACACCTCCCCCAGCCCCACGCTAATTTTTCTATTTTTTGGTAGAGACAGTGTTTCGCTCTTGCTCAGTCTGGTCTCAAACTCCTGATCTCAAGTGATCCTCCAACCTCGGCCTCTCAAAGTGCCAGGATTACAAGCATGAGCCACTGCACCTAGCCGGCATCAAACTTTAATAAACCTTCATTGTACCACTGAAATTAATAACCATAGACTTGTATAATTAAAGTTTGCTGGATTCACTAGCTCTGCATCCATAAGGATTGGGGCTGTGTCTACCTTATTTACCTCTGATCTCCAGCACAGTATAGACCATAACAGATACTCAAAAACTCTTTGCTGACATCACCTGCAGGGCATTCTTGCCAAGCATTTTAAATTGAATCATGAGAAAATGATGAGACAAACCAAGAATGTGAGACATTTTATGTGACAATTTGCCAGAATTTTTCAAAACTATCAAAGGCACATAATACAAAAAAGGCAAGAAGGTAATTTAGATTAAAAGAATGTCTTGATTAGAAAAAAGCTATAAAGAACCCTATGGAGTAGACAATTGGGGGGGGGAATTGAATGTGGATTGTGCATCAGACATTACTGAATCAATGTGGAATTTCTTGGATGTGCTTGTGGTATTATGGTTATGCTGTAGAATGCCCTTGTCCTTAGAAGGCACATGTTCAAGTATTTAGGAATGAAATATCTTGATATTTGCTACTTAATTTTAAAAAATAATTTCAAAAAACTTTCTGGAATAAAAAATAAAATGTGCATATATCTGCATGTCTGTGTGTAAGAAAAGAGAAGAGAGATGCAGAGAGAGAAAAATAGAAAAGACAGTGTGGAAAATATTAATTGGTAAATTAGGTAAACAATATTCATATTAACATTTTTTCAACTTTTCTATAAATTTGAAAGAAAATCAAAAAGTTCGAGGGCATAGGTCTTTGCTGAGCAAATGAATGAACAAAATGGCACTCAAAGAAAGCCAAAATTTTCTGCCTTCCTCCCAACTCCAATAAATAAATCCCCAAACAAATGTTAATGACAGTGGCTACTTTAGAGAAGATAAAATATCCCCAAGGGTCCAACCAACACTGAAGTACAGCGAATCATCCTAGTAACAAAAAGAAAGTCTATCCTTGTACTAGTTTTCAACACTGTTATTCATTCTCATCAAGTTTCTCTTCCATGATATTAAGTTAATTTACGGAAAAAGTTTCCAGATACAGGAGTTAAAACTCATGTCTAAGAATCTGACCAAACCCAATATAAAACTGTGCTCAAGCCTAAGGCTAATATAAGTGAGGCAGGCCATGTGTAAGTCAAAATAGAGACCTAATTACTCACATGGAGAAGCAGCACAGCAGCAAGAAATGACTGGCCCTGGCAATAGCCAATCTCCTCATCATATACGGAATAAGCCTGGAAAAAAAAAACCCATCAGGAATGTAAATGAACATAGGCACTCATGGGTCAGGGCACCCCTACAGGAATATAAGACCCTGGAGGATGCAACCCACACCCCATTGGAACATTCTGATGGACAATGAATGATACCAACAATTCTAATCTCAACTTTTTCTTTACAATAAATAGAACTGTCACCATGATACTTCCTGTGGCCAAGGAGTGGGGAAGGTTAAGCAAAAACCACTTTAGCACTAAAAAAAAAAAGGTTCTCGTATTTCCTTGTTGTTCATGCTATTCCTTCTGCCTGGGATGGTCTTTTACTTTCTTCTTTGCCTGAAAAAGACACTCTTCCTTCAGACCCCAATCTTATTCCAACTACCCCAGAATTAATCCCTCTTTTCTGTGTGCCTCTGTGGTTAACTGCTACACATGCATGGTGATTACAGCACTTACCACACTGCATTTTGACTGCCCATCTTCTCTACTGGATTGTGAGTTTCTTGAGAACTAGGGTGATGTCCTATTCAACCTAGCCAGCACCTCACCGTAGCATGCACTTACTAAACACTGTTAATGTTATTCATTTTTCTTTCTGGGAAAAACTCTCTTAGCAAAGACACCAGAATACAATTTTTTCCACAATACCAGTAATAACTTTTCTGATAAGAGGATTGCTCTGAAAGCTCTGTGGGTTCCTCTGGAATTACTTCTATTTTTCTTGGCAGCAAATGATTACTACCCATCTCCTCTGAACATTATCTTGAATAGAATATTGACATCTAACATTCCTCATGGTTAACTCTTTGATTCTTTAGAGTTCTGTTTTTATGATTAATATTTATAGTTCTCACATAAACTATGGTAGAAAGAGAAATTCTTATAGATTCAAGATGTTATGCCCTGTTTGACCAATTTATTTCTAGTGATACTCCCTTTTTCCTCCATTTCTTTTTTGTGCCAAGGTTCCTGTGTGTCCCAAGAAAGAAAATTAGAATTATGTTTAGAATTTATCTCTTAGCAAAAAGTTATGTCAATGCTTATCAAATAATGAAGTTTATAAATGGGTTTTATTAAATAGCTTTTAAATGGTGAAGCTATAGCTTTTAAAAACACAGATATTATAATTACACTTTCATAAATTTAGGCAGAATTTAATGTAATCTTCTTATGCCCCTTGATTTCATCACAGCTTATCCGATAAGAGAGCTACAGAATGAGAAACACGTATGTTTTCTCCAAAGACAAGATATGCAAAGAGGGCTTTAGAAGCAATCTGTTTGTAATACGAGGTACCACTTTCCACCTATCAAATTAATAAAACTTAAGAAATGTTCATGCTGATGCTGTTAAGACTGTGTTATAAATAAGTAGTAATATATGCCAACACAGCTCTTTGGAAAGCAGTTTGGCAATGTCTTTGGAGTTATCCATCAATAGTTTATTAGTTACAAAGGAGCAGAGGTTTTAGAGTTAGTCAAAGTTGGGCTTAAATACCACAACTGCTAATATCTAGGTCTAGATCTTTAGGCATGTCACTTATATTCTTTATTTGTAAGATGAGAATAAACATAGTATTAATATCATAGAGTTACTACATTAACTTCTTCTCTTCAGTCCTCTCATTTAAAGTGCTCAACACATAGCATAACAAATTATGTAATAGGATGAAAATGTATTGAATTTCTACAGGTGGAAAAAAGGGGATCATATTTTTCAGACTGATGGAAGAAATTAAAAGAATGCATACAGGCATGAAACTATATATTTGAGAAATGTTTGGCGTATAAGGTTCATGTTGACTGTAATGAAACATGAGGAAGGCATTTCACTGATTCACCAATAATTTTTTTAATATTAAAAAAATTTTTTTTTAATTATGAGTACATAATAGTTATATATATTCATAGGGTACAGGTGATGTTTTGATACAGGCATACAATGTGCATTAATCAAATCAGGGTAATTGGGATGCCCATTCCCTTAGGCATTTATCATTTCTTTGTATTAGGAACAATCTAATTCTACTTTTTTAGTTATTTTAAAATATACCCTAACTTATTGTTCATTATAGTCACTTTGTTGTGCTATCAAATATCATTCATTCTATCTAATTATATTTTTGTACCCATTAACTATCCCCACTTTGTCCCTCTCCCCACCACTATCCTTCCTAGCCTCTGGTAACTGTCACTCTACTCTCTATCTCCATGAGATCAACTGTTTTAATATTTAGCTCCCACATATGAGCAAGAACATGTGAGATCTATATTTCTGTGCTTGGTTTATTTCACTTAACATAATGTTCTCCAGTTCTATCTATGTTGTTGCAAATGGCAGGATCTCAGTCTTTTTAACGGCTACATAACATTCCATTATATATATGTACCATGATTGCTTTATCCATTTATCTGCTGATGGACACTTAGATTCTTCAACATTTAATGAGCACCTACTATAGGCCAAACACTATGCCAAGTGCTACAGATGCTACTATGTATAAGAAATGATTCATGTCCTTGAAAACATCACAGTTCAGTGGGGAGTTAGACAAGTGAATCAATCAAAGCACAGTGAGAAGTCCAACGTCGCTAAAGCATAAAATATTTGGGGAAGAAGTAGCAAGGGATAAACCAGGATACATTATAAAATACAGGGCTGTCCATAAAGTATCCAGCCTGGCTGGACAGCCCTCATATCTTTTTTTTTTTTTTTTTGAGACAGAGTCTCACTTTCTTGCCCAGGCTAGAGTGAGTGCCGTGGCGTCAGCCTGGCTCACAGCAACCTCAATCTCCTGGGCTCAGCGATCCTACTGCCTCAGCCTCCCTAGTAGCTGGGACTACAGGCATGCGCCACCATGCCCAGCTAATTTTTTTTGTATATATAGTTTTAGTTAGTCAATTAATTTCTTTCTATATTTTGGTAGAGACGGGGTCTTGCTCAGGCTGGTTTTGAACTCCTGACCTCGAGCAATCCGCCCGCCTTGGCCTCCCAGAGTGCTAGGATTACGGGCGTGAGCCACCGCGCCCGGCCAGCCCTCATATCTTTAATGAGGAATCTAGGACCAGAAAATGATCTCAGGAGGTTTCATTTCATTCTATGGATTATAAACCTTTAGCATTAAAGGTTTTTGTGGAGGCCACTGAAATGATCCAATTCTGGGATAAACTTGGAGCAAATAATGAACAAACTAGAACCCAAAGGCAGGGAGACTAATTCAAGGCAGCTTTTGTAAAAGTGCCAGCAACATAAGATACTGGCCTGTACCAGGGCAGTCCAGGGAGAAGGAAGTGCTGCTAAAAAAGACATCAATCATATCTAACTCAATCTGGACAAAGGACTAAAAAGAAAACTGACAGAAATAATTACATCTTTAGGAGGACAATGGCATGGGGTGGGGGGGGGAAGAATTGTTTTTAATTAAAAGAGATACAACAATTAAATGTAATGTGGATCTTGTTGGATCCTGATTGTAACCAACTGTATAAGGACATTTAAGGAAATCTCAATGCGGCGTGGCTCTTCGATGGTATAAATCAATAATGATCTTACTTTTTAGAGATGCACAGTGATGAATTTAGAAGCATGAAGTCTAATATTTGCTTTGCAGTACTTCAGGAAAAAGATAAAAAGGGACAGATGAAGCAACTATGACAATATGTTGATAAATATTGAATTAGGGTTTGAATTAGGGTGGGGGATAGATACAAATTCATTATACTAATCAACTTTTGTGTATGTTTGAAAATTTTCATGATATAACATGTTTTTTAAATGAACTCTATTTTTAGACCTGTTTTTGTTTGCTGTACTTGACAGACTTTGGCATGGAGATTAATTGGCAGCTGGAAACTCAGACCTTGAATTAATGTAGATCAATGTAGATCTGTGAATATGTGTGCAGTGGTAATAGCTGAAGTTTTGGGGGTAGAAGAGATCATGCACAGACACAGTGTAGAGCTAGAGGAACTACCAACTAAGCACCTGGGGGAAGGCCTCTGTTTTAGGAGCAGGCAGAGAGAGATAAAAGAGTTGGTGAAGTCATGAGAGAGTGACAGCATAACCAAGAGAGTGAAATGTCAAGAGAAGAGAGCTACGAAGAAGAGCATGAGCTAGGAACTAGAGTACAGTGGGGTCAGAAGTATATAATGAGAGGCCAGCGGCAGTGAATACAGGGTTTCTTTCCAAGAAATTCTGCAGTAAGGTGAGGGATAGCTGGAGTGACTGCTTAAGTGGGGAAAAAAAAATTGAGAAATAGCTATATATATAAAAAAAAGGATGATAAGAGAGGAAGACTACAACAGAAATTATAGCTTTGCAATCCTATGGAAAAATTAAACTTAAGAAACATTATTCTACACTCTAACTGCCCTTAGGGTTTAAATTGTTTAATTTATCATTGGTGAGCCTATCCTTTATTGCTAACCTGTCCTAAAACTAGCTGTTAATTTTTCCTTCTCAATCATAATATATGAGTTCCTTAAGGACATGTCTCATGCCTTGCCTGTACTTTTTATATAGCAGATGTTAAATAAGTGCTTGATTACTTTTGGGGGGTTGGGGGTGGGAAGACTGAAGACTAGTTCTGAGGACAGATGAAGGTTGAAAAATTCTGGTCCCAACTTCTCCTTTGATGGCCTTGTAGTTCTGATGTACCAAAATCCATTTGAAAATGGATTATTGAAATTGAACAGACTATCATTTCCTTTATAGTGTTCATGTATAGACCTTTTGACAGAAATCAGTATTTACCACCATTTTTTATGCTGCAGTGCTGTAGGTCCACCTGGATGGGCATCATTACTTCCTACTTTTGGAATGGTAACATAGGTACCAAGTTTATCACTTATAATATGAATACTGAAAAGAAGATTACAATGTTAGAGGGCTCAGAGGCTCTTAACATAAAAACAAATTTTTAAATTTAATTTTTCTTTTTACAGAAATATGATATTCCTAAATAAAAACAAATTTTGAAATTCTAAATATGGAGCCAGGGGTCTGTCATCTGAGAACTGGAAATGATGAAAAAGGAAAAGAAACCCTATCATTTTATTCTGATTATTTTCTGTTCTTTAATGAGTCTAAAATGGTGTTGTTACCTTTGAATTTATGAAATCTGATTATTATTATTTTTACATGAAATACCTTGCATATTTTATATAAAGAATCTTGTCCATCTCCTCCTGTGTCCTTAAAGTAGTCATGGGCTGGGAATGTCCTGTTAATATCCCGGGTAATAGCACTGTCCTGGGGAGACTCCTGTGGAAACATGAGGAGGAGGATTAGTTAGGTCAATCATGTAAATACATAACTATACCTAATACCTAATACTTGTTCAGGTTTATAAAACAAGGTCTTCTCATTTACATGCTTTAAAATGTTGCAAGGACATACATATACATATGCATAGCCATAGTTGCTGCTTCTTTAGGGACCAACCACTCAAGCAAAAGCCAACATAAAGAGGAAAAAAGATGAAGAAAAGTAACTTTTTACTCTATACATTCCATGTTATAACCCTATCCCTATTGCAAAGAAGGGCAGCTGGTGACCCTTCTTTTCTAAGAGGGAAAATGTGCTATTCAAAATGGATCTCCCACAGGAAAATATTCAACCTAATCTCAAAAGGAGGAGGTAAAGTGCTCCTGTTAGAAAAACTCGGTAAAAAAATTACTACTTTCATTTATCCTTTGACATGAAGCCCATGTGCCAGTTTTCAAATGGAAAGAAATTTCTTAATTGGGTTTTGTTTTAGGGACAAATGGCATAAGAATGCACACAACCTACTCAATATGAAACAAGACCACCAAATGCCAAGGGATTCAAACAGACTATAGGAAAATAGCCTTTGCTTTTTTTAATGGACAAAAACCATTTCCTCTTCTATGAGTTAACTAAAACCAAACAAATGTCAATAATATCAGCAACCCTTCATAAAACATACCAATCACCCAGTTATTTCTAATACTTTCCCCTTGTTAAATTTCATTTGCTTAGAACTGGCACACAGAAGCATGACCTTCTACTTTAACAATGCATTATCTTCATAGCTAGGACAATAGAGTTGATTCTCCTCAGTAAGAATACATCATAATTGGTACAGCATCCAAGAGCCTGACAGTCTTAAGATGAAAAAGGAAAGTGATCCTCTTCTCTGGTCCAGGAATTTTTCTAGCCTTTCAGGTAATCATGTTCCCAGGGCTATGAATATTTTATAGTTTTGGGATTTGAACTGACAAACTTTAAAGCCTAGGCTCTTTCTTAACCAGTAAACTATTTATACTTTCAAAGACATTGTCAAATTGCTTTCCAAAGTGCTTTACTCACCTATGTTAATACTAGTTATTAACACAGTCTTATTAACAATTAAAGCAACTCAGAACTGTGGTGATCTCTGACAAAAGGAAATAATCCAAGGTGAGACCTAAGACTACAGCAGCTAGTTCTATGGTGACAACTTCTAAGTTATATATAGCACATGGAGAAGGACCTGAAACTGAGCTGTGGTCTGGGGGTATTTCCATGTACCAAGGAGAGTAAGCACACAGAATTTGGGGAGGGCAAGGTGGCTAACTGTGGGGCATAGTACTGGAGAGGAATAAGCTAAATAGAAAGAGAGAGTTGTAGAGCTATCTAGAAGGGTCCCTATGAGTCATGAATCATAATGAAAAAATGATAAATGGGACACTTCATCAAAATTTTAAAATCTTAATATTTCAAAGCTACTATTAAAAACATGAAAAGGTAAGCCACAGACCAAGATGATTCAGAATATATAACTCTTAAAATTAAAAAAGAGACAAACCAATTTTAAAAAAAGTGGAAGGCATATAAATGATTGAACAAATACTTCACTAAAGAAGATACAACACATGGCAAATAAGCACTTTAAAAGATGTCAACATTATTAGTCATCAGGGAAATGAAATTAAAACCACAATGAGATTCCTCTCATAAATACTTAAATTAAGAAGACCCAAGATACCAAGTGTTGGCAAAGGGGCAAGAAACAACTGTACACTGTACAGTGTACACTGCTGGTGGGAATGCAAAATGGTACAAATACTGTGGAAAAAGTTTGGCAGTTTCTTATATCATTAAATGCATACCTGCCATACAACCTAGTGATTTCATTCCTAGGTATTTACCCAACAGAAATGAAAATATAAATGCATGCAAAGACTTGAACTCAAATGTTCATAGTAGCTTTATTCTTAATAGCTAAAACTGAAAACCAGTGATTCACATGAATTTACTCTAGGGATTCTATAAAACAACAATGGAAGCTCTGAAATAAGCTAAAAATGACAGCCTACATTTTAAGACAAGAATGAAGTTTAGAAAATTAGATTGAGAATTGAGAGGAATATGGAAAGTTCCAAAATATTTTATATCAGTAACATTAATCACATTAGACTGATGGAGAAGACAACCTAAAAAAGACACATAGTTATTGCAGATATATATGATTTGGAAATTCAAATTCACCTAGGATAGAAAAATAACAAAAAACTGAAAACATTCTGTAACTGTTCAATTCTCATAAATCTGCCATCCCTTATCTATTGATCATGGGAGTAGAGTCATCAGAGAATGAAAGGGTAAATGCCCCGGAGTAAAGGTCAATTTGAAAATTCACACACTGAATTTTTGAGGCTTTCAAGAATGATAATATTGCTTGACATTCTCTGAGGAAAAAAAAATAATAATAAATCAAGGAGTTGCATGTGAACAACTTGCTTAACATATTTGGTCTTAGGAAATATGCCGAAGAACTTGGAATAAATCCATTTGACTTGCCAGAGATCAAGCCATTAAAAAAATGACCCAGAAATTCTAACAATGACAAATTTAGTAAATTCCTATCAGAATGACAGCATTAAATTTGAAAAGGTTCTGAAAATAAAGCAACATTATGAATGATCCCTTCCTAATAGAACACAGCAAAGAGCTTTTGCAAAATATCCAAACCAAGAGCTTATAAAATTAATAAGCTTTACCCAATAATACATACTCTTTTTATTTCTAATGAGTTAAACACAGATGTAGATGATGCAGAGAGCTTGCTGGTGCAACGCACATTGGATAACACTATTCATGGCCCAACTGATCAAGTCAACCAAATATATCCTCTCAATAAGGCAGCAATTAGTAAAATGGCTTGCTTCACAGATAACAAGCTTTTACAAATGTACTTAAGGCAACAGCACAGAGATGGAAACCCTAAAAGAATAGGCAATAAATATATTGTCAGTTGGTATGTCCTGAAAATTATGTTATGGCACTGGTTATTTTTTGATCAAATGGTTTTGTGTTTTGGCTGCTTCGTTTATTGCAAGAAAAATAGCTTTAATCTCCAGAAGAAAACTAAACCGCTACAGGATTATGCAGTACTGACATCCTGCAAACCTTTTCTGTAAAAGGTCAGATAACAAGAATGTTTGGTTTTGGGGGCCATTCAGTGTCTCAATATTCAACTCTCCCTTGTAGACTAAAGACAATAGGTAAATAAGTGAGCACTGCAGTGTTCTAATAAAACTTTATTTACAAAAAAACAAGAGGCATGCTGAATCTGGCCCCCAGGTGGCAGTCTGCCACCCCCCCCCACACACACACACCGCTCTAAATACACAACACAGTAATTTGCTATGGGCAACATGACCAAATATTTTTATTATGAATTTAAATATACTGACACATTACTGTTGATTAATTTTATATATGTTTTGCCCACAGAAATTCTGTCACAAACAACCTAGTATAACTTGAAATGTATACCTCTTTGAACACTTGCCTTTTTCATGTAATAACAAATGCTAAAAATGTTCGCTGCACTTTGAAAAAGTCCATTCTCCAAAAGTCTGTATATGCAATGTAGTAAAGGTTTAAATGAAATCCTGTAATTATAGTGGCATGCCATATCCATTATATTTCAACCAGCAAAATAAACAGTATATGTAGCTCAGAAATGATAAACAAATACATTGACACATGTTAGACTGGCTAAAATAAAAATACCAAATGTTGGTGAAGATATGAAATGAATGGAACTCTCAATTGTTGCTAATTGGGCGTGTAAAATGATATAACCACTTTGATAAACTACACAGCAGTTTCTTGTAAAGTTAAATATATAGTTAACTACGATGACCCAGCAATTCAATTCCTAATAACTTTATTTGTAATAGCCGAAAACTAGAAACCCCACATGTCCATCTACAGAAAAAGAGATAAATTATGGCATAGTCATATAATGAAATACTACCCAGCAATAAAAATGAAACTCTAACACCTGCAACAACTTAGATGAATCTTAAGAACATTATGTTAAGCAAAAGCCTACGGTGATGGAAATCATAAAGTGGTTACTTGGTGGGGGCAGTGGGTGGTAGGGTAGGAAATCAATTGGAAAGGGGCATGAGTAAACTTTCTGAGATGATAGAAAAGTTATCATCTTTGGCTGGTGGCTACACAGACATACAACTTGTCAAAATGCATCAAATGAACACTTAAGAGGTGTACATTTTACTGTATGTCAATTATGCTGCACTTACAAAAAATACTTATCTCATTTCCCACCTGCCCCCACCAATGTTTCTTAAGATTTCTCTATTTTGGTGAATGGCAGTAGGTTTTAGCACCTTCTCTACCATATGGTCCCAGAACCAAACAGATTTCTGATTTTAGCTCCCACAAAAGATCACTAAGCTGAAGATCTTCTCTTTTCAGCATCTGAATTCAGCTTCTTCTATTCACTTCTAGTATATTATACAAGGCCAGACCTATGTTTCATCTTACCAAAATTAATAACAGCCTAAATGATTGCCTTAGTCATTTTGGGCTACTATAACAAAATACCAAGAACAGCAACTTATTTCTCACAGTTCTGTAGGCTGGGAATTCTTTTTTACTTCCTCATAATAATAATACTGGGGGACGGGGGGAGGATAAAGAATTTCACCACTCAGATATAACTGTGGCTAATTATTTGGTAGACATATGCCTACCTTTTACATAATTATTTTTACAAAATGAGTTTAGAATTTTTTATTTATTTATTGAGACATGGTTTTGCTCTATTGTCCAGGCTGGAGTAAAGTGGTGTCATCATAGATTGTACTCCAGTGACATATACTGTCACACTGCAGTCTCAAATTTCTGGGCTCAAGTGATCCTCTCGTCTTGGTCTCCTGAGTAGCTGGGACTATAGGCTCGTGCCACCACACCCCACTAATTTTCAAATTTTTTTGTACAGACAG